ATTTTCGGCACCATCAGCGCGATTCACCACATGCACCTCACCCTGTAAGCCACATAGTACACAACACCACACGGCAAACATCAACTCGCACACGTGCGTACCTTTCCAGGCGCCGCCCACGTGCGTACGGCACCCCAGGTCTGTATCCGCCTGAGGTGCGCCACTCGTTCGACTGCCAGGGCCAGCGGTAGATGGTTGACGCCTATGGGGTGGGGACCATCCTGCTCGACTGCCTCAAGTACACGTGCTTCCCCCCCATCCTCCCCCCCGACTACGTCGCAGCGACACGGTACGGCCTGGTACGCACACGGGCAGATAGTATCTGGTTCGAGAGACGAGACACCGACGAGACTGCCTACCTCCCGGCCTACATACCTATTTGCACGTGTGTGTGTGTAGCCAGGGTCCAACAATGGGCTGCGTGTCTGATCTCCCGACTGACCTTCATGGTGACGACAGCTGTGCAGCTCAGCCGAAATCATGGTCTTGCCCAGGGAGAGAGAGAGGCGCACCTCTCTCGAACATCTAAGCTCGCAGCTTGAGGGAGGGAGAAAGGAGGAGCCTCGTCCCGAAAGGAGTAGAGAGAGTCTCAGAGAGATGCTTCGCGAACCGCCCAGACGTAAGCCACATAGTACACAACACCACACGGCAAACATCAACTCGAAGCGACATGATTGTGTGTATCGACCAGAGATCTCTACCATCGGGACCTGAAGCCCCAAAACATCATGGTCGCGGTACGGTGGGAGGACAAGGTGGCGCGCGGCGGCCAGAAGGTGAGCTGCCCCGTGGTGGCTGAGGTCAAGATCCTCGACTTCGGCGGGGTTAAGTGCGACCGCCTCGGGTGCGCAAAGTGCAAAACACCCATCACACATACATACGCCGCACACACACACACACACACACACACATGTAGCTGCTCTGTCATCTGTGCGCGTGTGTGTGTGTGTGTGTGTATGTGTGTTTGTGTCCCTTCCTTGACAGCATGTCGCCATTGGCCTACGGTACGTTCACCCTGTTTCCGCCCGAGGTCAGGGAGTCGCGCGACCGCCGGGGTCAGTGGCCCCAGGTGGACAGCCACGGCATCGGGACGGTCCTGTTCGACTGCCTCCGCCTCGCCTCCTTGCCGCCCTCTCCCACCTGCAGTGCGTCCCAGTACATCGCGCAGACACGCTACGACCTGGTACGCTCTGGCCGCACGACAAACCGATGGAGACTCTCACTGCATGAACACCTGCGTGTCCGTGTCTGTGTCTGTGTGTCATTCATGTGTTGATTCATGCAGCCCAGGATCCTCGGGTTGCCGTTTGGCGAGGACGTCGATGACTACCCTCACATGGTGACCTCGGCCATCCAGCGCCGTATCGATGAGGAGATAGCCAAGGTCCACAGGGAGTGCATCGTCTGCCGGCCGAGAACAACCAGAGCGAGGCGTTCAAGGTCCTCCTCGGGGTCGCGTCTCTCTGCCTGCGGGCCGACCCGGCACTCCGCTCGACGCCCTCACAGGTGTGCAGCATCCGCACATAAATGGAGACACTCACACACTGACCCATTCGGTGTCTGCCTGCAGGTGCTGCGTGAGCTGTTCACAGCATCTGTGCGGGAGCCCCCGTGCGACCGCGACTTTGCAGCGGTGGCTGTGCGAGCTCGTACGTATGAGCGCACTGCAGGTATGTCTCGCTCGCACTGATCCAGACATGTAGCAAGGTTCTCATGTCGCTTGTTGCGTGTATGTGAATCTATGTCTCAGCCCATCGCCGCCTACATTTTATATTTCCGCGTCTGTTTCTAGCTCAACGAATGCACAGCGCTTAGGGTTGTCCACCTCGTACGAATGTACAGTCTTAAGCCCTTAGGTACCACCCCCGGCCTCTCGGTGTGTGTCCGTTCTTGTCCTCAGGCCCACCCACGCCATCCAGGAAGAGCCCACCCACACGAACGCCGCCCCTCTCTCTCAGATAGCACTTCACCAGACGTGCAGCACCGGCGGCAGTAACAGGAGGGCATGGTGGCCGTAGAGACGGCCGAGCACGCTGCCAAGGGGACGACGGCGATGGAGATAGAGAAGAAGGACGAGGAAGAGGTCAAAGCGGCAGGAAGACATGTCGGCACCTGCACCACCCTTAAGAATGGCGCGCCCCTACGAGAGGGTCCAAGTCGACCCACTCGGCGAAGTAGCAGGTTCGCACAGTTACTCATGCAATTTGCACTGCCTGTGCAGTCGTGGACGTGTCTGTTTGCTGTCCATGTATGTGTCAGGCTGCAGAGAGGCCCAACAGGCCGACAACTGGGACCCGTCCCCCTTCCCCATAGACCTGCCGCCCCGCCTGACAGCCATCTATCGGCTTCTGCACTCGGCGGCGGACGAGCTGCAGACCATCAGCGGCGGAGTGGGAGGGCTGGACGAGTTCATCGAGGACCACTGGCTGGCAGCCCTGGCTCGAGCGGCATGGCAGGCGTCGCCCAGGAGGGACGGGCAGAAATTCCTACGCGGCCTGCTCTGCCGCCTGAGCCATCTCATCAGCGTGCAAGCACGGTAAGCAAGAATTATACAGAGGAAGTCCACACATACACATACCATAACTCATGGTGTTTACTGACTTTCCGTGTGTGTATCAGCCCATCGTTGCCTTCATTTTATATTCCGGTGTCTGTTTCTCCGCAACGAATGCGCAGGGGGGCAGGTATGCTAACTTGTGCAGGAGGGCTCTAGCGATAGATCGCCACTGCATCAGGTAAGCGTTTCAATGATGGGCCGTCAACCCATGTGTGTACAACACAGCATTCCATATCTCGTCTCAATGCGTGTGTTTCAGGTGTGCATCGGTTCGCCGCCGACCAGTGCAGGCAACTGGGCGTGCCGGTGGTAACGCAGGGCAAGGGCATTGGCCGCCGGTTCCTTTGGCGGCGGCCATATGTCAAGTACGGCGGGCCACTCCAGGAGGAGCTGATGAAGGGGATGCGGGACATGGGCGGACGGGCACCGATCGTGTCTAACGTGCATGAGACGATTGACCTGTATGGGTAGGTATACGGCGGGGCAGGAAGGAAGGGAGATAGGAGGAGCCTCACACACAATGTGTGGGCCATTGCTTGTGTTGCAGGCCGGGCCGTGATGTTCAAGACGCCCTGCGCGGAGTACACGGCCAACCGCAAGCCGCCATCGCAGTTCGGGGTCGGCGAGTGGGACGAGGGCAGGTGGGAGAAGCAGAAGCTCCTCACTGTCCTGAACGAAGCACGGTAAGCAAGAGCTACACGAAGGAAACCACACGCGTGTGCATCCATGTGTTGAATCAGGGTGCTGGGCCATGTACGAGCGGCGGGCCGGCATCAGGGCATTATCGGCATCAGGGCGGTCCAGTTCTGCCTAGATGGCAACGGCCTGTACATGGACAAGGCTGCTGGCTCGCCGCTGAATGAGGCAAGCAAGTGATCCGCTGGACGTACGGGACAGCATCCCATCTCTGTCCCGTGTGTGTGTGTGTGCAGGTGTTGTTTGCTGAGGACGGGGGCGTGCCGAGCCGCGTCGGCCGAAGGCAGCGGTTGGGTATCATCCGACAGCTGCTGGAGGCCGTCGCGTTCCTCCACCAGAATGGTGTCATCTACCGTGACATGAAGCGACATAACAGTGAGTGGGCAAGGGAAAAGCAACGACGCTGTGATGTGTCATGTGTGTGTGTCTGTTGGCGTCCGGCTGTGTTGGTTGCAGTTATGTATGACGCCAAGACCGATGCGGCCGTCCTCATCGACCTCGGGTCTGCGGCGGTGCTGGGGGAGGGCAAGTCACTGATCGACACCAGCGGCGGGTCGGCAGTGACACCCCAGTACCAGCCGCCTGAGCTCCCTCACTCCTCGTGGCGCCATCTGCAGCCCGACGTGCCCCCCGACGGCCTGATGAACATGGCCAGCGACATCTGGATGGTGGCCAAGACGGCCGTCGAGATCGTCACTGGCCATTTCGTCAAGGGGGGAGACACCGACGGCAGAGGCGAGGCCATCGACGCGCTGCCGACCATCCCGGCCACTTCTTCGCCGCTGCCATCACCAGGGAGGAGAAGCCATCGTTGCTTACATTTTATATTCCGCTGTCTCATCGCCTACAACCCATGCACAGTGGAGCAGCAGAGGATACGAACGACCTGCAATGTGATGCCCCCACTCGACACGTCGGCAGGTATGTCTGTGTCAGTCAGGGACACACATCAAGATCCATTGTTGTCCGGACTCACTCCTGTGTGTGCATGGCATGCAGGCGGCGGACTGGTGGCCAAGACACCCACTACTGGGTGTCTTGGCAGACTGCCCACTGTCATCAGCCCCATTCATTTCGAGCTATTCGCCGTCCAGTTCCATCACCCTGACAGGGACCAAGACGGACACAGAGGCGGGATTCTGCTTTTCTTCTGCGAGCTTCAGCTCTCATATAAAAGAACTGCTGCTGCCGAAGCTGCCATGTCGTCGCGTAATCCCATGATACTGCCTAGTTCACTGCACCCGGCCCAAGGTGCGTAGGCAGGGCAGGCAAATCGACTGCACTGACGGATCCCAACTTCTGGAGGTGTTGTCTGTCCGCTGCACTGCAGGCCGACGAGCGGCCGACAACGCCGAAGATCGTGACGGCGAGCCGTTTTGGCACCCGTCCCATGGCACTGCCGCCGAGCTTGCCGGCACTGTACCGGCTGACCCACGAGGCGGCCCAGCTGTTCTGCAAGGACTTTATCCAGGACCACTGGCTGGCCTCGTACGAGCAGCCTGGCAGGCGCCCGACCACTGGGGAGGCCGGCGTTACATCTGGGGGCTCCTGGAGCACCTCAGCCGGCTGATTAGTCTGCAGCGGGCAGCGGCCGACGTCTGTAGAGGCCTGGGGGTGCCGGTGGTGAGGGATGAGGGGAATGCGGCGGTTCTTGGCCGACACAGACCACATGATTAAGGATGGGGCGCCGCACCAGCAGCGCCTGATGCAGAGGATGGGGGATGGGTGGCGAGCAACAGCGCCGGTGGTCGCCAGTGTCATGCACGCACACAACATAGAGGCGGGTACGCGTTCGATTGTCCTCTGTTTCGTTGCATGCTGTTATGAATGGGTTGGTTTCTGTGTGTGAAGGTGGCGTGGTGGTGAGGAAGGCGTAGCCTACACGGCCGACCGACAGACACGACTCGACGCCATCATGGCCGACAGACCGTGGGACCCGGCATGTTGCGTCGGTGGAGCTGCCGACCGTCGACCTGCATCTGGTGGACTTCCGGTCCAGGCACCGGCGTCATGAGCTGGGGCACGTGTGGGACAGCGACATACGGATGGTCATCAAGAAGTGGCACTTGCTCTCGCCAAAGGTACGTCAGAGAGACAGAAGAATTGGACGCGTGCATGCTGGCCGATCGTCCATTGTGTTGTGCGTGTGTGTGGCCAATGCACAGAGGTTCCGCTGGCGACCCCCTGCAAGAAGATGCGTCAGAGCACCTTCCGGCTGCTGTTGTACTGTACCAGCGGCGGCTCGGCTGTCAGCCATCACCATGGCGCTGACTGCTAGGCCCCAACCAGGCCGACCAAGTGATGAGCACGGCCAGCGACGGGCGCATTGTCGGTAGGTCCACTGAGCGACTACACTCATAAGTACACGCGAGACACGTGCTAATATATTCTCCTGCCGATTGTTTTGGTTGTGTGTCTCAGCCTATACATCGCCGCCTACATTTTACATTCGGATGGCTCATCCGCCGCAACCATGTGTGTGCCGCTCGACATGGCCGAGGGTGCTCGCCGAGTCGACGAGTCGACATGTGTGTCAGCTGTTCGTGCGCCGGGCGGACGCACCCAAGGATGGCCGCCCCCACAGGAATGCGCGGTTTCTGGCTGTGAAGGTGGTGCACATGAGCGCGTATGGAGGATCCCGCAGCCTCCTCAAGGAGAGGGTGAGTGAGTGCACACATCACGCGCGCACACATGACACGAGCTCTCTATTGTGTGGGTGTGGGTGAGCAGGCTCGTTGTGAGTTCACGCTGCAGCGTCGCGCCATGACCGCTTGTACGACGCACTCGTACGAGCTGGCGATGTCTACAGATGGGTCGCGCGCCTTCATAGTGAACGAGTACGTCATGGGGTTTACACTTGGGCAGTTCCTCCACACGCGGTATGACACAAACACATACACACACACACACACCCCTACCTTCCCACACACCATTCCCACACTGCACCTCCTGAGAGTGCACTTGAGGAGTTAGCAATCATCATCGTTAGCCTGTTGTCGGCCGTGCAGCATATGCATCGGACCCTGTACGCCACGCCACACACATCACCACAGAACAGGACACGGGCAACCATCAACCTGTCCTGACATTGCGTGTGTGTGCAGGGGGCTGTTCCATCGCGACATCAAGCTCGAGAATGTGATGTTGAGCACCCGCTGGGAGAAGAGGCGGACGCTGCGCGGCACACTGGTGTGGTGCCCGACTGTGGTGGAGGTGAAGCTGCTGGATTTCGGCGCCGCCAAATGTGATTTCCTCAAGTGCGCAGCCCACCCAACACACACATGAATGTCCCCTCATGACATGAATGGCGTGGTTCCTCTGTCTCTCTGTGTGTGTGCGCCTTCCTTCAGCAAGGCCCCCGTTACTGGGGCACGCCTGGCATCCCTCCGCCTGAGGTCCGCTTCTCGTTCGACAGATCGAGACAGTGGGCCCAAGTCGATGGCCATGGCGTGGGCTGCGTGCTGTACGACCTACTCCGGTGCGCGGCGCCCGTCATGTCACCATCCAATGACTTCATCTCGCGCAATAGATACGACCTGGTACACACAGACAGTGCAGAGACGCATACATTGCCATACACGTGTTTCCTCCCCCTTGTATGCCTGCTGCTGCGCGTGTGTGTCATCCATGCAGCCGCGCATCTTGGGTTTGGCGAACGGCGTGGACGTGCAGAACTGCCCCGACATGACCACGGCCCGCATTCAGCGGTCGATCGACAACGAACTGGAGAGGCTGCGCAATGCAGGCTCGATTCTCGGCGCGAGCCAGAAGGCGCAGCTCGAGGTCTTCATCGATGTGACTGCCAGCCTGCTCCAGGCCGATCCGATGCTCTGCGCGACGCCCTCACAGGTGTGTAGCGTAGCGTACACACGGCAACACGCTGATAGATAGATGCACACACTCACTTGGACACTGACCCACTGGATGTCTCTGCCTGCCTGTATGCAATCTGCCTGCCAAACCTGCAGGTCCTGTCATCTCGGCTGTTACGCAGCCTTCGCAGGACGGTTTTCAGAATTCAGTGAACGGGCCATTGCTGCCTACATTTTATATTCGACGAGGCCTCTTATCGACCTTATTACGCCTCTTATTACGCTTTTGCACGCGTAATATGCAGATGGATGCAATCGATTGATGTCGCAGGACACAGACAGAAGGAAAGGCAGGATCGTCGGGTTCGTCATGTCAGTGAGCATCCAAGCCATGCAACCCACACAAACCACGCACACGTGCAGCAAGTCAAGCCACCATTTCCCCCTACCCCGATGGGTGGATGGATGGATGGATGGATGGATGCAGACACGGTGTGCGTATGTGCGTATGCGCATGTGGGTGTGTGAGCGAGACGTCAGTAAACGAGGGAGACCAAACCACCCTGACCAGTGAGTTCATTTGTTCAAGCAGGTCCACCGACCACGTATCGACAACGACAAAAACACTCAATCTGTCAGACACATCCCATGGCCAATGCACAGCAGCGGCCTCCCTGCGCCCGAACAGCTGCACAAAACCGCCGCCCCCATCTCCGCGCGAAGATGGGGGCGGCGGTGTGGTTCAGCTGTTCGCATGGAGGAAGTACGCACACTCATTGGCGGACAGACATCCACCAGGAAGACAACCTTTTTCCCCACACGACCATACACACAACACTGACTCCCGGGCAGGATGAGGGTCCTCACATGGCAGAGAACGACACGAAATCGGCGGCCTGTCTGGTCCAGACATGCCTTCGATTTGTTGAAGGTCTCTGACAGGCGAGGAGCCCCATCAACCACCCATCTCTCTCTCTCTCTCTCTCTCTCTCTCTCTCTCATCACCAACAACACCTATCGGCAAGTCGTGTATCGCCCCCCAACACACGCCCACTGCTGATGTGGTCCCCTCCCGTGGTTGCGGTCAGGGTGCTGCTCGCCAAGGAGAACCACAACAAGACAAAGGCATACCTCATAGAGCCGCACAGAGTCGATCGATCAGATAGGCCTCCGATTCGTTGTCGGCCTCTCTCGCGAACACCTTCACCGCCACGGCACACGGACGAGCGCGTGGATATATCTGAGCAACTTCAAGTTCATATCACCACAAGCCACCACCCCCACAAGCCCGCCCTGCCGCCTTCGTGTGAGCCCCGGACACTGAGGGAATGGACACCACACACACACAGCCAGCGAGAAAAAGAAATCTCTCTTCTCGGCGACGAACCGCTGCCAGCCAGTCCTCCCTTGTCTGCCGCCTCACTGCTCGTGCGATGTCACTCCATGGGGGTGAGATGGGTGCATGGGCAGCTCAACAGGGCCGGGATGGGGCGGCTCGTCGTCGTCGTCATCGGGTGCGCCTTGCCGCCTCCAGATCTTCGAGATGTGAGAGATGCGGCCGCCTCTTCGATGAAATATGAGTTGATCTGGCCAACAAACTCGGCTGTACGAGTCAGTTAACGGCTGTGGTGCGATGTAGTGTAGGACGGGAGATGACGCTTTCCTCCACTTCCTTTTGCGAGCTTTCCGTCCCTGAGCTCGCCCCTTTTTCGGCGTTTTCAAGCAGCGTGAGTGCCCTGGGACGCTGGTGTGCCAAGCAGATGGATAAACGATGACATTTGGATGACATTCCATCCATCTGTGTCTGTGCTTTCGTGTCAGCGTTGTTTGAGTCAGTGGCTCCGGAGGGCAGGCTCATCGTCAACTGCTGCCCGGAATCTGCTGGCATCTGCCAGAGGTATGTCGGTTCAACCGCACACTGATGGGATGGATGGATGGATGGATGGATGGCGTGGATGGTGCAGGTGGGCGGTAGCTTGCGAGATGTTTCAGACGACATAGCCGAGCATCACATAGAAATCATGTCTGAGAGGGACACACAGGTGAGGCACCAGGCAGCGCAAAGGTGTGATTGTGCCATCGCCTGTTGCTGCCGGTTTCTCAGGGGCAGAGCCGTGGTTTGGCGGCCTCAGCTGGTGGTGGTGCTGGTGGCGGTGGTGGGGAGGAGGAGGACAGTGTAGCTGCGGCCGATGGCGAAACGGTGAGACCGGCCAGAGGCAATGACAGACAGACAGACACACTCACCCCTGTCGCTCCCTGTGTGTTGTGCAGGTGCTCATGTTGGTGATGCCCTTCTTGCCGCTCCACATCCTCGTCCCTCTTCCCCTGCGGCTGCCCAAGAGCGCCAACCTGCTGTGGGAAGAGGCGGCAATCAGCCACACACGGCTCTTCATAGACTGTGCAGCCAAAGCTGACGACCAGTACTGGCATTCGCCGACCGAGGGCCGCGTGTTTTGGCAGCGCATCCCCTCCCTCTTCGTCAAGCGCGTAGCGGCACGGCTCACCGGCCTCACCGAGATCACCCTCTGCCACCCTCCGTACCCCCCTAGGTGGGGTACTGACGTGTTGGTCTCCGTCATTGAGACCACGGCCGCCCCGCCCGCCCAGCCCGACGCACAGGCAGACGCCAGCCGGCTGGAGACCATCGCATTCGAGAAGGTGCAGCTGAGTGAAGCGGATCAGCCGCTGAAGTGGCAGCATCCCACTTTCCCTCCCCTCGCCGAGCCCCCCACCATCTCTCTCCCGTCGCTCAAGGCCGTCACAGGAGCCGCCGGAGAGCATGGTGTCCTGGCCGACAGAGGGTGGAGGGTGCCGTCACTAGAGCGCCTGGAGCAGCAGCGCTGGCGTGCGGACCAGTTGGGCCGCTTCATCAGCTCGTCACGGTCGCTGCAGCACGTCGGCGGGAGTCTGTCGGATGATGGGTGGGCCAGTGTGTTTGAGCGCATGCCTGAGGCCGCTGCTGGACAGCCCGGGCCACTTGCACGTCTGCAGAGTATCGGCACCATCGAGCTGCGCGACAATCCTGAGGCGGCCCGTGAAGCGATCGCCAGACTGCAGGTACGCAGCCAGCAATGGATGCCGTTGGTGCAATATAGGTCACGTCTGGATGTGATCTTCCTGTGTGCAGGTGGCACTAGCGTCGCGTGGCTCCCGCCGGTCGCTCACTCAGCTGAGCGCTGCGATGAGCTTTTACAGGTTCGACAGCAGTGTCCTTCCCCTCATGCAGTCCCTCGAGTCGCTACACAAGACGTGCTGCAGAGCCGACGCCCCAGTCGTCTTCGAGGGCCGATGGGTCACCAACTTCGACCTGTCGCTCTTCTACAGCGACGACCTTCCCGCCAACCCCTCGCCCCTCTTCAGGAAGGCCATGCAGGCGGCCGCACAAGGAGCAGACTGGGTGGGCTACGTCATCAGCGAGCACAACCTCACCGACCCCGTCGACAGCCCCAGCAAGGCCGCCATCGATGTCGTCGAGAGCCTCACGTTCAAGAGGGTGACGACTGTGGCTGTCCGTAATGCCATGGCCTTTGTCCCCCCTCCCAACATCCCGTCACCCCGTCCCACCATCATCAACCACCTGCAGCAGTTCCCACGCATCGCGGGATTGCTGTACATTGGCAGCCATCTGGGCGGTGAATCGGGTCGGCTGCTGGCACAGAAGATGCCCACTGAGTTGAGGAACGTGGAGTTCGGGAGCGCTGTGAGCGCACAGGACCGAAAGGCCGTGTTGGAGGGGCTGGGCAAGGGAGGCAAGTGCGCGACGTCAATGTCGGTCAATGGGGGCCAATCCCCGAGAAGATCAGGCTCACGGACGGCCCCTTCGACGGCTGGTCGTCGGATAGCTTCCCCTTGATTCACACCATAGAGATGCCCCTATGGGGTACGCACGCACTCACATGGAGGGTGGTTCAGCTTACGTGTGCATCATTGCCGTGTGTGTGTGTGGTGTTCCTCAGTGTTCGACGAGCTGGATCCCTCTGCTGCTGCTAAGACCATCCGCAAGGGCATCTCGTCCGTCGTCGGTGCCGTGCGAGGCCTGGAGTGTTTCTCAGTGCGTGTGCAAGGCGACGGGGCCGTTCACGACGCCCTTGGGCAGCTGCTCCCAACCGGCACGATGACCGGCTCCAAGACGCCCGGTCAAGCCAAGAAGGAGCAGCCCCACTACCTTCAACCCACCAAGTCGTCGTTAGCGAAGGTGCAACAGGCCAAGAAGAAGGGCACGATGATTGGCTACAGCTTCACCATCGACGCAGAGGACCTCGGATGGCAGATTGAGGTGACTGCAAGGCGCCTCTCTTAGAGGGTGAGCGGCAACAGGCAGAGCACTGCATCCATCGCCCTCACAATACGAGTGTGTGTGTGTGTGTGTTCAGGTCGTGTGTCGAGCCAGTCGTGACACAACAGCACCGTGCCGTAGCACTCACATCCCATCCGTCTGTGTGTGCGTCTGTATAGCTGTGTGTATGTCTGTGTGCATAGAGGGAGGGTGCGTCGGTGTGTACCGCATGGCTGCTTCGTCGATGGATGGATGACTGGATGGGTGGGTGGATGTGTGCAGACACGGCGTGCCTGCAGTCCTGCGTCTGTGCGTCTGTTTGCCGGCAATTAGCAGCAGGGAGTGAGGAGGTCTTACAGGACACATTTTTGCCAGCATTTTGCCCAACTGTTGGCAAAATGTGTGCCTATTGTCCTGCTCGCTTTCTGCTGCTGCTCAGCCGACCCTCTCTCCCTGTCTCTCTGTCTGGAAGCAGAGGGCACACTGCCGGCAGACAGACGGACCGACGGGCTGCATGTCGGCGTGATGGGTAGAGTGTTGGACGGATGGATACCTTCCTGTCTGTCTATGTTGGATTGTGCATATGTCAGTCATCTCATGTCAGTCAATGTGAGCAAACCAAGGGGACGCATCACATGAATCGCTGCACGAGGTTCATCCAATCATCCAATCGACCACCAGTCAGTCAGTCATACGTTCCTTCCCCGCTTGCACACGAGCGCACGCACCCATTCATCCATCCATCCATCCATTCATGCACTGCACACAGTGAGTCGGCCATACACACACCGTCAGCCCCTCAGAGAGATGCGCTAGGATAAACCACCCAGCCAACCCTCTCATGACCGATGCAGCAATCCACCACCACCACCACCGTCCCGACAACAGTGTCTGTCATCCTTCTATCTATTTCTACCCCCATACTCCCACAGAGGGCGGCCTCTCTGCCCACACCCTCACTCCTCGATCCATCCTTCGGTCACTCGTCGTCCTCCCGCTTGCGTTTGTTGGGTGAGCTGGCGGTGCTCTCGTTGGGGCTGTTGTCTAGCTCGTCCATCGACATGTCGTCGATGTCAGGGGTGGCCTCTGCCGCTGCCATGGCGGCACTGCCGGCCCCGCCCTGCTGCTCCTGCTCCTGCTGCTCCTGCTGCTCCTGCTGCTTGCGCGCGAACTTGTCGATATCGGCTGCAGATACACACACACACACACAGGCGAGGGAGGTATGCACATGGGTATTATCTATGTGGGCGCGTGTGTGTTTTGTGTTGTGTTGCGTTGCGTGCCTTGCTTGAGGGAGGTGTGGGCCAGCCACTCCGCATCCACTTCGCGGTCCTTCGGGGCACTGACACGACACGACGACAGACACACCACGTGTGAGGATCCATCCATGTGGCTGCTCTGCGTGTGTGTGTGTGGGGGATTATTCACCGATAGTCCAATCCTAGTTTGTCGAAGATGTCCTTCTCCGTCAGGCAGACCTTCGACGGGCCGACCTCATGCTGCAAACAAACAGACAGAGGGCAGGAAGGACATCATCCATCCATCCATCCATCCAATGAGTGAAGAGGTGAGGTGTGCCATGTGTGTGGTGTGTGTCGCTTCTCTTGCCTTCTCCCTGCCGACACGGGAGACGGGCACCAGGCCGTGATCGCTCAACGAGTGACCCTGCAGGACCGTGCAGCGTGCAGGACAGTTGTGGCTGTGGGGTGTGTGTGTGGGTGTGTACCAGTTTGTGTGCGTAGAGTCTCATGCTCATGTTGAAGTGCTTGGAGCCCGTGAAATACAGAATGGCAAACGCAGGCTCACGACGCTCGTAGAGCTGACACACGCACAGAGAGAAAGGAAGGAACACGCCAGTCATGACCCTGTGTGTGCCTCTGTGTATGGCTCCTCAGTCACTTTGATGTCGATGCGTCTGTGAAGGCTATCAGGTCCCGGCAGCCGACACACACCCATGTAAGAACGACTCGTGTGCTGACGGCCCAACACACCACACACACAAGCGTATCTCTCGCCCGCTCTCTCTCTCTCTCTCTGTGCGTGTGTGTGCGCACCTTCCTGGCCCCCTTGTGTGTGTGTCTGTCGGTGAGGTCGTCCGTCAGGAAACCGCTGGAGTGCAACCTGACGCAACCACCCGCAGATTGGGGCTCCCTGCCTCTTCGTGGGATGTGGCCCCTTCCATCAGACTGACTCGTTCTTGATGCGCGTCAGCTCGTCGCCGGGCAGACTGTCGTCCTAATCGATCAGTGCACACACGCGTAAGGTGACCGACACATCACATTCGCCTGCCTCTTGTGTTTGGGTGTGTGGCGTACCTTGGGGAAGAGAATGATGTCCACGTCGCCACACGCAGGTTTGCCCCTGCAAACACACACACACACAGACAGATGGATGGATGGATGGATGGATGGCAGCCAGCGTGTCTGGTGGCTCGCTTGGCGTGTGTGGCTGCTTGCCTGCGGTAGGAGCCAGCACAGGTGAGGTCGTAGGTGTTGGGGTATAGCCGCTCAACAGCATCACGCACCGTGGCTACGATCTGCACACACAGGGGGCATCCTTCTTGTGTGTGTGTGTGTCTGTGTGTGTGTGTGTATGCGTCGTGTTGAGGTGTTGACCTGGTCTCCTTCAGCCCGGGGGATCTTCTGCGAGAACTCATTGTGGTACTTGACGCAGATCTGATGACATCATCACACGACATCATCGTGCAGATGGCCGTGTCTCTGTGTCTGTGTCTGTGTCCCTGTGTGTGTGTGGCTGACATGCAGACATACCCGCTGATTGAGATTGAGCAGCTCCGGGCGCCTCGCTAACTCCTCCACTGAGCGAATGCCTGAATGAACAGGTTGCAACACACCAGACAGACACACCACACACACACACAGATGTGAATCTGCCTGAGCTCATCTGAGTGAGTGAGTGTCTGGATGTTTTCGTACCGTGTACGTTGTAGAGGTGGTGGGCGGTGACGTTGCCGATCCAGTCGACAGCCGTCAGCTTCTGCACCACTGACAACTTGGGGTCGTTCTGACAGACAAAGACACACACACACACAGGCACAGAGGGAGAGAGAGAGAAATGAGTGGCCATTGGTGTTCTCACGCACCTCCAAGTTGGTCAGACGGCTGATCTGGCCGCTCCTGATGAAGTCCACAAACTGAGTGTAAGGCAACACAGCACAGCACAGCACACCACAGCACAAGATGACATATATCGACACACGCATCCATCCATGGCTCAGCGTGAGTACCTTGTCCCTTGTCTTCTTGGACCTTCCGTCCTGCAACCACTTGAGCTCGGGGCGATCTGCAGCCAACCAGCCACCCATCCATCCATCCAGCCATCCATCCAATCAAGCGACCGAGTCTCTGTCTGTCTGTCTCTGCGTGTGCGTGTGACCGATCGAGGTCTTCCATGGTCTTTATCTCAAATTTGAGGCTTCTGAGGCGACTCGCCACCTGACGGGCATTCCTCTGACGAAACTGCCATTGCTGATCGATGGATCAATCCACAAACACACATACACGTGCGCCCCGATACCTCGCCGCCTGACGCTGTGTGTTGCATTTGGGGGTACCTCCGTCCGCTCGGCCTCGTACCACTTCTCGAGCCTCTCAAACTGATCTATCAGCGCCGCATTGAGACGCCCACCCACAGCAGCACCTGCACCAGCCGACCTAACAAAAATGATCCGGATATTTTTGTGCGTGTGTGTGCATGGTAGCTGTTGTGTTTGGCTCACCCGTCGTCTTGTTTGGGCTTCTTCTGGCACGCGAATTTCTCGCGCTTGGCGAGTGTGCGCACCTGCTGCTTGGTCACATTCACCTTCTGGTCCTCTGATGACCGCATACACACCCACCCAACACGCACAGTCCACACAGCCGGTGTCATGACCGGCGCATGGGGGTCGTGTGTGATGTGAAGTGTCTTACGCAGTATGGGCGGCAGCACGATCTTCTTCTTGACACGTGCGGCACCCGACTCGCCAACACGCACCTGCACACGGAGATGCACATGCGCCCATACGTGAATTTGGGGCCAGCCATGCTTGTATGGGTGTGTGGAGGTGTGTACCTTCTTGTCTACGTGGGATTCCCCCTCCCCCTTCCCCTCGGTGTTGGTGTTGGGTGCCTCCAGCCAGGTGGGTGTGAGTATCTTTGGCACGTACATCAAGTCCGACTGCCGGCAGGCCTTGCCGAACGCGTCAGACACCCAACGATTCTCTACCAGCCTGACGCCACACACACACCCATCCAACCACACACAAGTACACTCAAGTACACACACATGCCATGCCAGTGTCCATCCGTGTGTTGTGCACACCCACACACAGCCATCAACACATACCAGGGGAGGCCCTGCTCATGCAGCCACTTGACGAAGGCGACGGGAGATGAGGAGCAGCTGGAGGGAGGGGGGCGGGGGATGGCGGGGTAGCGCTCCAGCAGCTTGGTGGTGAAGAAGGGCTTGAACTTTTTCTCGGCCCAGCCCTCGCTCAACACGATGTGTGTGGCGTCCGTCATGTCCTCGGTGATCTCGCCGCCGTTCTCTGGGATGCGCCTGGCGAAGATTTGCCGCCGGTGGTGGGTCATGTTGCTGCCCTCGTTGTGCAAATACACCCTGACGCAGTGCACACAGCAGAGCATTGTGGGGCTGGCTGTCTGTGTTGTGTGTGTGGTGTGTTTGCTCACTTGCATCCCTCAAAAATGGTGGTGTTGGTGATCATTGTTGTTCGTCAGCCAGCCTCCTCCTCTCGCCGATAGCTCGGACACGCAGCCGCCAACCACAACCTGTGGCCAAACGTGACGCAGGTGTGAGGGATGAGAGTGCCGCTGGCTACATCGCATCTCATGCCCTCTTACCTACATCCCAGCAATCGCGTGACTCTTCCTTCCCTTGAATTTCTCTCCTTCAACAAAAAAAAAAATTCTCTCCTTCTCCAGCGATCGCCAGACTTCCCGGCGAGCTTAGAAAAGGTGTGCACCGTGCGGCTCCTGCGATGAATGCTACCAACAACACAGATCCTGATGACGTGCCATCGACCCGCGCAACAACTCCCATCTCGTCAGCCCACAGGTCAGCAGCGAAGGATGGTTGCATCCATCCCATCTCGCCTGTGCCGGAGTGTGCCTGACTGATCTGCTGTGTGTCCATCAGGGGCAACCGACACCATTCTCCCAATGTGTCAATGACTGTGACGCCGGTTGGATACGGCCATGTGCGGGGAGGGAGTGACTCATGCCAGAGGCTGTCGGGGCGGAAGAGGAAACGCATGTCCGCGGTACACCAGGAGGATGAGAGAGACTGTCACTGTCCTCACGTCATTGTGGCTGGTCTGTCGTCTGTGTTCACTCATGCAGGTCGAGAGGTTCTATCCCATCCGACACACGCTCTTCTCGCGTTTCGATCAAGGTGCGATGGAGGTCCTGCAGTCATGTGTGTGTGCACAGCCGCCCGACCTTTCAGTATGCATCCGATCCACTGGATGACTTTAGGCATCCAGCTGGCTGATGACGAGCAAGATGACGAGATGTGGTATTCCGTCACCCCTGAGCCCATCGCCCGCCAGATCGCCTCTCGATGCAAGACGCCCAATGGCATCATTTTTGACGCCTTCTGTGAGTGAGAGCGGGGCGCTCACAGACAGGTGGTCGCCTCTACCTTCTTGTGGTCAGGTGGTGTGGGCGGCAACGCCATTCAGTTTGCCTTTGCGGGTGATTTCGTGCTGTGCTGTGACGTCGTTGCTGGCCGCCTCGAGATGCTCAGAAACAACGCACGCGTATACGGTTAGTCAACAGAGAGGTGGAACACATATGTATGCGTGTGTGTCGGTGTGTGCACACAGGTCAGTCAGGTGGACTGGACTTAATCCATGCCGACTTCAGGACACTCAGACTGAGGCCTGGTGTGGATGGAGTGTTCTTGTCACCCCCATGGGGCGGTCTGGGCATCAGCAGTGCCGCACCTGTCTACAGCATGGGCAGCATGGATGCCGGCAACATGGTAGCTAGGGTATTCATCACGCACGGATGACGCGTGTCATGGATGTTTCAGTGGTTGTGGTGTGCAGGACGGCGTTGAGATCTATCGGTTGGCCCGTCGCATCTCCCCAAACATCGCTTATTACCTCCCTCGCAGCACATCGGTGGACGACGTCAAGCGCATGGCCAGCCTCACGACAAACAATGGCGTCGCGACATCGCCGCGCCGCCTGCACGTGGATCTGCATGTCTGTCGCGACACATACATAAGTGGCGCCAGCGGGCCTCGCGACTGCAAGAGCGGGAGGAGCAGGGAAGTCGTGACCTTCGATCACCTTGCTGCCGGTGATCTCTCCCCTCACCCACCAGCTGATGGCCACGTGCAGGTGACAAACAATGACGAATGGCGATGGAAAGTCACAGCAGTCACGTGCTATTTCGGTATGAAGGAATCGGGCAATCGGGGCCTGCACACATCACTTTGTGGTGACTTTTCTGCTGAGCAGGTGAGTATGCGCGTCGTGTCTGCAACAGTGGCCCCTTAACTGTGGAGGATGCTCTTGGGGATTTAGTCCGTGATGTGGTCCGGGTGGTGGGCGCTGACGTGCTGACGAGAGGCGTCGGAGTCAAGATGCCGCCGGTACCAGCCGACTCGGTCGACAGCGCACTGCTGGCCAATAGACAGGTGTGAAGACGAACAGATAGCTCACAGGAGCCTCCTTTCATCTGTATGTCTATCTGTGTCTCTGTGTCTACAGGTGCAGCTACTGATGCGGCAGACGGCATCGCGCCTCACTCACTGCCTACCAACCGCACCTGCAGCATCGTCAGACGCCCTGCCTGATGTCAGCGAGCGAGATGCGAACTCTGCTTCTGCTGGCGATGACGGCGTTCGTGCCAGAAAACGACCGCGGGTGTGGGAGGCTCTGGGGGCGAGGCTGCTGGCGCGGAGGAGCGGGATGAAAGAAGCGTTTGCCTGCTTCACCGAGGTGCAGCAGAGGCTGCGCATGATGTGGCGGAGGAGGCGGAAGCTCAGACAGACAAAACGTGACCTGACGTGACGGTGAGCGTGTCGATGAGGTATTGTATTTTGTTTATATGAATGTATGTGTACATTCGCGCCGTCGATTCCCTCATCGCTCAATCCGCTGACCGACTGACTCACTGACTGACTGTGACACGCAAAAGAAGGAGTCTGTGCGCGAGATGAGGCTGTCACTGCCGCTCACTGTAGCTCTCTGCCTGCAGCTATGGCTGGCCGTGACGTCTGTCGGCAAGCAACAGCGGCAGCAGCCTGTCCCGGTGGCTCTGATTGACGAGGAGGAGGCTGCTGAGCCATCGGCGGGGGAGCTGGCCGAGATTGAGGGCAACGCAGGCGGTTTGCTCGAATCAATGACGACAGGCATCGGCACTGAGGAACGGGTAGGCAAGAGAATGATGTTGCCTGCCTGATTGATTCGACATCACTTGTGTGTCTCTTGAATGTGCGGATACATAGGCGCTGTTGGCAGCGGCGCAGAAGGAGGTCGCCGAGCAGGAGAAAGAGCAGGCAGCGCAAGAGAAGGAACTGGAGCAAAGTGAAGCACAGGAGGAGCAAATTGAAAAGGAAGTGAGATACAGACAAATCAGCCAGCCAGCCACTCATGCGAGCGAATCAATCATCTCGCTGCATGTGCGTGTCTCACAGGAGGACAAGCCGGTATCAGGCCTCATCGCCCTCCCCGACTTCCGACAGCTTGCAAGACATCATCGCCTCCGCACCGCCCCGCCGAGAACAAGATACGACATCGAGGCAGCCAAAGAGAAGGAGGAGAGACAGGAGGAGGCCAAGTACGCGAGGCAGTTTGGCGAGCTGATGCAGAGTGAGGACAGACAGGAGGCTGCCGCGGAGGAGAAAGAGCAGCAGCAGTCGAGGGCCAACAGAATGTCGTTTCGGCAGCTCCAGCGTCCGGTTGAGGGCGGCTTTCTTCGGATCAACTCTGCAGAGAAATTCTGCCTCGGTGAGGAGAGGATGAGAGGGAGACATGCGCATGTTAATCTGTCAAGGCGCACGAATGCATTCAGGTGACGACATCCTGGAGGCATACGGCCGCGGGAGGTAGTGTTCACTGACACCGACACTGTTCACTGACACTTGGCATCTCCCTTGCAGTGCGTCGCCCTTCATTGACTTCGACGAAGCGGAGCAGCGGTGTGCCGCCGATGATCGATGCAGTTTCTTCACTGTCGACAGGGAGAGCAACCGGACATGGATCTGCAAAGGTGTGTGTGTTTGGTCGGCGTGCACAGAGTGGATTGACGAACGTGTGTGTGTGAATTGTTCAGGGGACGGCTACTTGTCGCTCGAGCCGTTTCCTTCTGCAGTGGTCGGCGTCAGCCCAAAAGAGCTCGCCGTCGACAGGTCTGTCTGTCTGTCTCACTCAGTCACCATCGACGTCCACTGTGCGGCTGATGGGTGTATGTCGTGTCTCTTTCCAGGTATCGCGTTGTGACCAACATGCAATCCATCTGCCAAGGAGCCAACCTCAGTCAGCCTCAACCAGTGTCTCGGTGCTCGTGTCTCTCTCTGACGTTAGTGTGTTGTTATGCAGTCGAGGAGAGGCGCAGCACAAGCCGTTCGACAATCGACATGGAAGAGGCCGCCAAGACATGTGACAACCTGCCAGGTATGAACACAAATCGCTTCTTGATGCACACATACATGCATTCGCTGCTCTGCAGACTGCACCCATTTCACGATCAACTTCAGCGGCTCGACTGCCATGCCAGCACCCCACACCCTCATCCAGCACGTCTACTTCTGCGCCGGCGACCCCATCGGCGCGCCAAACGACAGTTTCGTCACAGCCTCTCGGAGAGCCAGTCAGTCACACACACACACACACACAGAAAGGGGTGTGACCGATGGATGCCATGTGTTGGCGTGTGCGTGCAGCGCATTACGTCCCCGGTGCGCCTGGTGGTGCGCCGCGACCTTTGCGGCCCCGCCCCCTGCCGTGTATGGGCGTGCCTCTGCAGCTCAGAGGGCCCGTCGAAGACTCACGCGGAGGTAAAAATCAAGAGACGGGCTGCGTATAAATAAACGAGTGTGTGTCTCCCTTTCTGTGTGTGTGTCAGTGTACAAAGCTGGCTCGATCATCCCCCCCGACATCAACGTTGTCTACCGAAGCAAAGAGCACGAGTTGCAAGCCGCAACAGAGAAAAAGGGCAAAGCCAGCAGCGCGCACTGACGCCATGGATGATGCAAGTGACTGACTGATCATGAGTGTCCATTCCGAAATACACTCTGACCGCGAGCACTTACATGTCTGTTTGAGCTGATCCATCCATGCAATAAGCACGTACGTCACAATAATAATTGTATATGCGTGTGCGTAGCCATCCCTCCACGCAGGAGAGAGCAAGCTGCTGTGGATGTGTTGTTATGGGGTTGGAGGCAACATTCTTTTCGACATGTGCAGACAGATAAAGTGGAAGAGAACTTCTCCTGCAGTACGTATGTTGGTCAGTTTGTCTTCACATCAAATGTACGTGTAGACGTGTGTAAGCAACCAACCAGACTAAAACAAGTCCCGTCTGTGTGTATATGTTTTAGTCAACATTGAGCACACACTCTCATCCACGACACATGCATTCTCCCCTGACTGACTGACTGACTGACTGGACGCACACTCACTACACTGACCGGCGAACACTGTAACCAGCCATCCATCCATCGAACACACACAAAAGACAGTTATCCATCCGTTTGTCTGGCTTTGCTCACACGGAGACGATTGTCGATAGATGATGCGCTGGGCTGGGTGGCTGGGCTGCTCGAGACGGTGGACGGGTGTGCACGAGCTGGGACACTCGCAAACACAGTCAGACAGACAGCACATGGACTTGAATGTGTGTGTTTGTGTGTGTGTCAGCTTATCTGTGTGATGGAGTGAGTGGGTGGAGATTTGTCTCCAGACGCTCGCATGGATTTGCCGGTCGATTGCTGGGCGGGGTTGTTGCTCTACTCACTCCATCTGCTGCTGGTTGATACAGACACACACAGGGAGAGACCACATGCAGTTGTTTTGTTTGGCCGGCTGGCTGTCTGGCTGTCTGTCTGTCGCACCCATTCATCCATGAATGCACTGCACACAGCGATGTTGGAGTGAGGCTTGACTGACGAACGATGTTGGTGTGGGCGTGCAGAACAACGATAGCTCTGCAGCAAACACACACTCACACAGACATATGAGTGTTTGCCTGTCTCTCTCTGTTTGTCTTTGTGCTTGACTGACGGCGCTGAGTGAGTCGTCGAGGCGCTCGTGGACGGACGTCAGCTCGGCCGCTGTTGTTGTTGCCTGGGCTGCTTGAGAAGGTGACGATCGGGATATAAGATGCAGGCAGAGATGTCAGCGTGTGTGTTCTGTTCTTGTGCGCTTTCTTCTCCCTTCTCCTGTTGTGTCGCTCCTGGGGAACGAGACACATATCGGGCACAGCAGCGTGTGTGTTGTGTTCTTTTCGTGCCCTCTCTTCGTGTGCCCTGTCTACTCCCTTCTGTGTCTCTCCCGGGGTCCGCGTCGCTTGCGGGGCCACCTGTTTGTTCTGAGGAAGGACACACATATTCGGCACAGCGATGAGCGCGTGTGTGTTCTGTTCTCGTTGTGTTCTTCCTTTCTTCTCCCTGTGTCGATGCTCCTTGGCCCGCTGCTTGAGGAGGTGAGGTGGGTGCAGTGTGGCGTTGGACCAGACGGGAGAGGCGAGGGAGGGAGGAAGAGACGGACGGATGGGAGAGGATGACTCAGTCAGTCAGTCAGTGGACTGATCGGTCGATCGTGTGTTTGTGATTGGTAAAGGACTCGCGATCGGCGGCCGATCCCATACACTCACACAACGTACAGAACCAACACACGTACCGTATATAACGATGTACTCTGTCTCTCAACCGAACAGACAAAAACAAAGCCCTACGTATCGCATGTTCACCAATTGCTAAATCGGGCGCGAGGCTGGAGCGAGCTGGCATGCCTGCCTTTCATGTCACAGGGCCTCGCTTCTCCTGTCATGGAAGCCAACTGACGACATGACGTTGTGAGGCACTCAAGGACGCTTCGCATGCACTCAGTGACTGTGTGGCTCTGTGTCTCATTATGACTTTGGTCTGGGTCCGTTATGAATTGTGTCTCGTTGCTCGCCAATTTATCGTTGCAGCGAGACACGAGGCGTTTGTACGCAATGTACAAATGGAAGCGCTCAATTTGATGTGGTACGCATATATGTGGTCACGGCGGGCGCCAGCCAAGCGCCTGCCGTCTGTCTGTTTATACCCTCCGACCGCCTCCTGTACGTTGGGGTCGGCAATTTTCAAATTGTCATTTCTGTGCACGGCACTCTCCTTTGACATGACTGGTTGGGCCATGCGCCTCTGAAACGTATGCGGACAACTGATTTTTTTCTAGTATCAATGTGTGTATCATCAATGTGTGTACGTATGTTTGACACCGAACCATACCTGACACACACACACACAGGCCAGGCTGACTGGTATGCGCTTCCTCTTGGTGTCTGTGGCGTGGAAGCAGACGAAGGCTCAAACTTCGGGTTGGACCTTTCTTGCATCCTGAGGGTCAATAATTGGTCTGTACATGCCTGTCTTGGTCCATCCGTCCATCCATCCATCCATCCCAAAGAGCATGTACGACACGACAATTGTCGGTGTCACAGTGCATTGAGAAAAGAGGATGTCGCATCGTGTCCATCCGTCCGCAAATCAAACCAATCGTCCAAGCAGACATGTCATGGCAGCTCAAACATACTTGAATGAAAAGGACAAAACTCGTGTGTGCTTACTGACTCATACTTGTTCTCATCAAAAGCGGTCAAGAGCATCAGCACAAGGACTGGCAGGTTGCGAAAGATGATAAGATTGCCGCCGATGCTCAGTGCCAGCAAGTGCATCCTGATGACGCCCGGCTCGGTTATGCTCTTAATCAGCGGCAAGTTGGCAGAGCGCACGAGGCAGATGTAGAGCGCACCCTCGAACAAGACTCCGATCAGCACCATGATTCCCAGACCTGCTAGCCTCTCTAGCAGGTGACGGACGGATGGAAAGAGGATCTGGCCGAGAGTGATGTTGAACAGGTCACTGAAGATGAGCACTGTCAACTCAATCAAGCTGTAGGCATGCATTTGCTGCAGCAGTGGAGGCAAAAAAAGTGTAGAATGAATAGATTTTCTTGTCTGTTGCTTTCCTTCCTTACATCGCTGAGACGCCGAAGGAATATCGGGTGATAACCAAATTGAACAACCTGAGTGGGGACGTCCAGAAACGTGCTCAAAGTCCTCATGGAATAGCGACCGGCCCCCTTGAAACTCATCATGGTCGTAGAGAGGCGGCTGAGTAGCATGACCGGCGTTTGCTTATCGCGCGTTTCCTGAGTATCTTCAGCAGTGACAGTGTCGAAGTGCCGATCTCGTACCGGCCTGCATAGGAATCGCACCAGACTTCTTCTCGCGGCACCACCTATGAGAACGAAATACGGCATGGCTAGGTCGGTAACGAAGTCGAATGATGCGAAGATCAAGCTCCACAGAAGCTGATAAGGAGAGGCATGTCCAGGAAGGACGAGGAATGGATCTGACGCGAGGACAGCGTCGATGTGCCCACCTGCGCGAAAGTAGATATATTCCATCTTGGCCTGGACGAGCGTTGGGAAGAGTGCGAAGCCGAACGCTACAAACGCGATTGCTGGAGACGTTTGCAGGGCAGGGCCGTCCTTCAGAGAACGAACGATGCCTGTAACTGAGAAGACACAGACCGAATACGCATGGAAACATGCGAATGTATCCATCGATCGAGTCGCATTTCTTACGGGTCGCAACAAGGGGCGACACCACGAGCAGCCAAGTGAAGAGGACGCGTGTCTTCTCGCGATCTGTTGTTGCAGTCCGGGCAAGTGGCAGGAAGTAGAGGGGTACGGCAAACGAGAGACAGATGACCACTACAAATATGCCCCATGTCTTGAGAATATACGCCCGCTTCCTGATGATTATCTTCGAGTTGAAAGCCACTTGGCGAAAGACCCTGACAGGACAGGCACAACGACAGAGAATATGTGCTTACTATCACAATTCTGTTCTCACATGAGGGGTACGAGCACGGAAATGGGGTAATGCATGAGCGGCGCATATTTGTGGCGTTTCCGCAGGACCTCGACGTTCCATGAAGCCACGTATGGGGCAAACACAAGAAGGAAGATATACCAGGTCGTCCTCAAGCGGCGGACAGCCCCAATTCCGCTACCCTCAGCCACAAGTAGTATCATAGTCATATAGCATAGAGCAACGATGATGCGACGAGTTACATCAAGGACTATCCCTGCTGCTCTCGCAGTCATCTTCTCGCACGCCGACCAGTATGCCAGCCACACCAGGGCCCCACAGACTGCAAAGCCGACGGCTGCAATTAGGTGGAATAAGAGTACCTGGAAAGTGACAGACCTGAAGGACTGCGACATTGTGCGAATGATTACCTTTGTAACTCTTCTAACACTCGTCCAAAGCGGCTCAGGAGTAAAGACCGCACCAACAAATGAGCCTCCTTCATATTGCAAGTCAGTCTGGAACTCCTGAAACGAGGCTGCATGTCCCGCGCATGCTCGGAATTCATTCACTTTTTCTTCGAGCTCCACCTCCTCTTTGCGCAGCGCTCTCCTGCCTTCTTCTCCGTCCTCATGATAGACAGCCCCCTCTTCTGAGTAGGTTTCTGTAGGCAGGCCGCAGGTCACGTCGTTGGTCCCAGTGGCGCCTGTGCTCTCTGGGTCAATGACATGCGCCTCGCCGCTGAGAATATCTGCTGGTTCATCGCTGACTTTCATGACGTGTTCAACGTCGTGTTGCGGTTGAGCGGCGGTGAGCTCCGTGGTCCCCATCTCGGGAACAATTCGATCATCCTGGGGGCTCCCTGGGGGCTCAGTCTCCGCGGGCAACTTCAATTCCCCCCGGGATGATGCACCGGCTTCAGAGCCCTTTACATTCCAATCGGACTGAGGTCCCGAGGAACTGGTCCTCTGATGTGTACAGTACGGATGACGACAGCCCTCAGCGGCAAACAGCCGCGACCACCGCTGAGGGCTGGATGAAGGGGGGTTAGACGCATGGGCACGCCAAAACTGCACGAGGATCTTAACTGGCTCATGTCTGTCTGCAATGTCGTCTCTGTCCGCGTCTTTTCCCTCTGCAGCTACTGCGCCAAATTGGAGCAGCGGCAATTGAGCAGCGGTGTGGATGTTGATCTGCTGGTGCAGATGCTCGCGAAGCAGAAGGCCCCCGACACGGCAAGGCTGTTCACAAAGGCATGCAGGATGAGCAGAGATCCATTCATCGGGTGTTGATGGGGAGATCGTGTTTGTGATTGGTAAAGGACTCGCGATCGGCGGCCGATCCCATACACTCACACACCGCACGTACGTACAGAACCAACACACACGATGCGATGTACTCTGTCTCTCAACCGAACAGACAAAACAAAGCCCTATATATCGCATGTGCACCAATTGCTAAAGCGGCCGCGAGGCTGGAGCAAGTTGGCATGTCTTTCATGTCACAGGGCCTCGCTTCTCCTGTCATGGAAGCCAACCGACGACAATTACCTTGTGAGGCACTCAAGGACGCTTCGAATGCACTCAGTGACTGTGTGGCTTTGTGTCTCATTATGACTTTGGTCTGGGTCCGTCATTGATTGTGTCTCGTTGCTCGCCAACGTATCGTTGCAGCGAGACACGAGGCGTTTGTACGCAATGCACAAATGCGGGAATTTCGCAGAACCGCTCAAATTTGATGTGGTACAATGTGGCGACTGTGGGCCAGGCCAGCACCTGCCATCCACTTGTATCCTCCAACTCCTCCCTGTAGGTGTCAGAATTTCTGTGCACGCCATTCTTCTTGCGTGACTCGTTGGGCGTCTGAAACGTATGCGGTCCAATAAACTTCTACTCAGGCACACGTTGTCAGACAACGAACCAACTGAGGATAAGTCCCGTTTGCGTGGCTTCGTTGCAGGAGTAGACACTTTTTTGCCCCTATGTACAGCTCCTCGTGGGGCTTGCCCCCAAGAAGCGTCACGCACTGACCACTCTGCTGGTGGGTGAGATTGAGAAGGGGCACTCTCAATACCCTCAAGCCCAAGGTGCGGGTGCGGGTGCCCCTGCTCACAGTGACACACCAGCAGAGTGGTCAGTGCAGTGGGCCTTTCAGTACCTGTGTCACTTCCATTTGACCACGTCCGTGCGTATGTACAGCAGCACTCAAGGATGCACACAAGTCTAGACATCTATCTATCTACGTATCCAGGCCGGCCATCACATCATGCATGCAATGCATTCTGTCCCCCCACCAGAGAAGTGACACTCACTAGCCATCCATCCATCGATCCATCCATCTATCCATCCATCCATCGATCCATCCATCACCCAATTAAGGAAGAATGCGGGTGTGGTGTGTCGATGTCACCAGATCGATGTGCATGTGTCTATGTACAGTCACAGCGGCAGTAGATCGTCGCCGAGCTCGTCATCACCCCAGTCGTCCTGCAACACAACACTCACACACTCATTTGTCGCCCACCCACACCCGCCTCCCCATCGATGGATGCATCCATAGCGCGTGGGTGCATGCTTACGTCCTCAGCTCTATTGCTCGCCTGCAGCCGCCGCCCACCTGGCCTGCACACACACAACCAAACATATGGCGGCGTGTTTGTGTGTGTACACATGTCTGCCGAGTGTGGGGTGCTATGTTACCTGTCCTGTGGCACGGGCCCCTCTTCCTCGTATAGGGGTCGGGGATCGACGCCCTGCTGACCTGACACTGATTGATGCCACACACGAACAAAGCCAGCCCGGTGGACAAATGCACAGGGGGCACGGTCTGTGTGTTTCGTATGGTGCTCGTCTCGTTCACTACTTGTGGATTCCTCCCGGCCGTAGGCGACCCCACGCTGCGAGCACCCACGCAACAGCACACAAACCGTGTCAAAAAGGGCACCCGCCTCTTGTTCTCACTGTTCGCACTGACCTCAGTGCTATCTCGAAGCGAGCTGGGCACACACACACACACACGCACGGACACACACCAAGTGTGTGTATGCACATCCACGTGTGTGCTGTCCTGTGCCGATGACCCACCTGTCAGTGTGTCTGGAGAGTGGTGCAGGGGCAGGCTCTGCGTGTGTGGGTGGTGCCGCTGCGGTGCCTCCCTCCTGCTGCATGCGCTCCAGCTTCCTCAGTTTGACAGCATACTCCTCGTGGTCCAGACCCAAGTCGCGCAGCAACGTTAGCAGGTACCGCAAACCTGACAGACACATACAGTACATAAACAAACAAAAAGATTACAAAAAGCTGGCGATGCGATGCGATATATGCCGTGGGTGTGGCTGCGTACATTCGATGTCGTCTGGGCTCTCCCTGTGAATGTCCTCGTAGATCTTCAGAGCCTGCTCATTGTGACCTGACCCACGTGGCCACACACAAAGAAAGAATGACGGTGGAAGTGAGTGAGATCCATCCGTCTTTGCTCACCCATTCGTCTGTAGCACGATGCGACCATGAGCCTCCACCGCGAGTTGCCGCCCTCTATCTGGGCAGCTCGCTCGAAGAACTGAATGGCGTTCTCGTACGCCTGATGGATGTGTGTGGGTGTGCGGTGGGTGGAGGGATAGACGGGCGCAGATGAGAGAAGGTAGACAGACAGGGATGCACGCCCACCCACCCCCCCTGTTTGCCACCCACCTCCTGTTTGACGAAGTGCACGCCCAGATACGCGATGACGTCCAGATTGGTGGGCCAGTACCTAACACACACACACACACACACACGGATGGATGGATGGATAGAAAGACACACCCCCAATGCACTCATTGCAATGCATGGAACACCCTGAGCACCACACCACGGCCGCTTAGACACGCACCTGTATGCCTCCATGTAGTAGTGATACGCCTGTGCCTCGTCGTCCATCTGAACATACACACACACACCCGTCAGTCAGTCAGTCCATCCCATCATTCCGTCCTCAAGCCGGCACAGCACTTACGCTTGCGAAAAGCTGCCCCAGCCGTGCGAGTATTTCTGGGTCTGTGGGTCGTGTCTTGGGCGACACCAGCAGGGAGAACCACTCGACAGCCTTGCTAGGATGACCGATGCGGTGACACAGATCGCCTGCAGTGCAGCAGACAGACAGACAGCGAGAAATGGCTGGCGGCTCCATGCATGGCCATGCTGTGTGTCGGTACCGTGGTGGGGTGTGTGTCAGTGTATGTCAGTGTACCGAGCTGGTAGAGTACGTCTGGGTGCTTGGGGAGGATCGAGTTGAGCTTCTCGAAGGCCTGCAGTGCCTCGTGGTACCGCTCGATGCTCTTGTTGACCAAACCTGACAACATACATCACACAAATCCACACACGGACAGCAGTCCATCTGTTCTGTGTGTGTGTGTGTGTACCAAGGTTGTAGATGGCCTCAACGCAGTCCGCCTCGACGCCGATTGCCTCTAGGAAGAGCTCCTTGGCCCTCTCGTACTCCTCGCACAGAAACAAACAGTTGCCCTTATTCACCTTACACACGAGTACACACACACACACGCATACACACACTATATGTGTCTGTCTGCACATATCAGTATCTGTCTGTCTGCAGATATACCAGTGCCCGCGCATTGTAGCGGTTGGCCTTGACCTGTGTTCGGTGGGAGGGAGGGAGGGGGAAGCAAACAGACAGGCACACACATGACGAGCGGGCATCAGGCATCGAGCAAACGCGTTTGGTGCCCTGACGCACCGCGAGGTCAGCGTATTTCTCGGCCTGGTTGTAGTCGCTCTCGAGGAAGTAGATGAACGACAGGTTGGTCGCCGTGCGGGCCATCAAACTGGGGTCCTACTCACACACACACACACACACACACAGAGAGACATAGGGACATGTCCGCAGGCAGACAAATGTGAGTGGAGCCGGCTAGCTGGCTCAGCTGACTGAGCTGACCTTTTTCTCGAAGGCCTTGAGCGCATCGATGGCCTGATCAAACTCCTTGCGACGCAGAAAATACGACGCCTAACCACCCAAGAACACAACACACACACGCATACGGAGCAGCTGTCGTGTGTGCAGTGCAGTGCCTGCCAGGTGTGGCCACACTCACTCACTCACTCACTCCACCGACTGACCTTTGCTATCTCCATTTCGGATGCGATGCCGGGGAATCCCTGTGCCTTGAGGACCTCACACACCCAATCGAAGCCCAGCGGGGGCCGCTCTATCTCTGAAGGCAGGCAGGTGCAGACAGACGCAAACACGCAGCTGGCTGGTGAGGGAGAGAGAGACCCGTGCAGTGCCGTGCCGTGCTGTGCTGGCTGCGGCCGTGGGTGAGGGGGTTACGTGGCGCGGTGAGCTTGGCTGCATTTGCGATGTACTTGAAGGCCTGGTGGGTGGATGGATGGATGGAGATGGATCCAGACAATGCATGTGCCCGTGCGTGTGCTGTGTACACGTGTGTGTGCATTTCTTTCCTGACTGACCTCCCTTTTCCTCTTTTTGATTTCCTCCTTGAGCGGGTCGTCGCTCGGCACGTGATCTGACGCACACACGCAGGGCAGGCACACCGATGGACCAACGGGCCAACATATATATTGTGTGCGTGTGGATGCAGGGCCCTAGCACGTCTCACCTTCTCTGCCGGCGTCATTGAGGTCCTCCAGGTCCTCTTCATCCTCCTCCTTGGCAATCAAGATGTGCAGACACACACCATATGGCCACAGGCACATGAGGAAATCCAGACAGACAGACAGACAGGCAGGCAGGCAGACAGACTCACCTCGAGGCCCTCCTGCTGGATCGACAGCAGCCTGGTGAACCCTGACCACACACCACACGACGACGGCATGTCCGCTGGGCGCGGCGCGTGCGGTGCGCACCGCATGCAGCGCACCTTGTTTCAGCTTGTCCTTGTCTCCGAGTGCAAAGTAGCACAGCAACAAGTTGAAACCTGTGTGTATCGTATCGACCAAACCAAACCAAAGCGGAGGAAATGGTTGCGTGTCGTCTGTGTTGTGTTGTGGGATTGTTTGCTCGCATCGCATACACACGTAGGATACGCACCGACCGGTTTGGAAGTCTGGGTTGCCCTGCATGATGTTCTCGTACGCGTCGATGGCGTCGCTGAACTGACCCATACGGAAAAAGGCGTGGCCGATGTTACGCAGAATCTTGTACCTGCACACACATACACATACACGCACACCAGATGGCTGGCTGGCGGGTGTGTGTGGTGCGTGGTGTCTGGTGTGAGCGCACCCACCGGATTTCTTTGCCGGTGTTTGGGATCTGGTCGAGTGCCATTCTGTACATTTTGATGGCCGTGGGGTACTTCTGCTGGGCGTAGTAGATGTTGCCCATGTTGACGCGCAAACGACCTGCACACACACAGACAGACAGAGAGAGAGAGAGAGAGATCCACTCACGTGTGTGTTGGGTCTGGTCCGTGCACCGGGCGGCCTGCTGACTGACTGACTGACCGCTTTGTGGGTACTGTTTATTCTTGACAATGTTGGTGTAGGTGGTGAGTGCGTCGGGGTACTGCCCACAGGCCTGCTGCTGATTGGCCAAGTTAAACAGCACCTGTGGGTGGCATGCATCACACCACACCACACACAGAGGGAGGGGAGTGGGCAAGCAAGTACATGTGCTGTGTGTGCCGTTCGTTGTCTGTGCGACCTACCTACCGAGTATGTGAGGTCGACGTTGATTTGGTCCGCCAGGTTGTGCGCCTCCCGCTGCCGACACAAGTGACGCTCCTTCTTGACTGTCACACCCCATCATATATTCCACACACACCACACATGGACAGACACCCCATTTATTCCAACCACCCACCCACTGTGTGTCGTTTCGTGAACGGAGTGCGACTGGCTCACCGGCGTCTTTGGCCTTCTGCAGGGCGTCTGTGAGTCGACCCTGCTGGTTGAGCATGGCGCTCTCCTCGACCAGTGTGTGGCAGTCGTTCTCCAGCTGCCGGAACCGCTCCTCAGCCGTGGGCTCCTTCTTGGCCTCCAACACACCACCCCTCACTGATAGCACCATCACATGACACACACTACAACATACATCAGCCATTCTCATCTATCTCTTCGCTCACACTCAGACGTTCGTACTTACATTTTTCCTGCACAGTTGCGAGTTGCATCCCCCCCTGTGCCTGCGTCTTGGGCCGCACACCGCTGGCGGAGTAGCCGGCGGCCCTGTTGCTGGTCATGGGCCTGGCGGTGCCCTCCGGCTGCTGGTAGGCAGAGGCCGTGCCGATACGCATGGCGGTTCCCAGAGGACGGCCGGTGGTCCGCATGTAGCTAGAGGGGGGAGGCTGACTCTGATCAATCCGACCGGTTCATCCACACACACACACACACACAGACATACACACAGACTTCTTGCTTGTGAAAGGCCTTTTCTTTCCCGCGTGTGATCTTCTATCTGGGTGCGGTGCATGAGGTTCGGCTACCCACCCACCTGTACGTGTTGGAAGTCATATTCCTCCTGCTGCTTGGCTGCGGTGTCTGCTGGGCCGGGGCTGCCGAAGCCCCGAGCCGCAGAGGAAGATGCCGTCGTGCTGCTGAACATGGATCTAACGCAGATCTACACCTACCAACTTTCGTCAACTCTTCGGAAGAAGCCAAGCGCGCACTGATGTGCAGATCTCCTGAAACCGCTGCCGCTGTGCAGATCTCCCAGGGGACCGAACCCCTGGTCCTCCTACTCCCATCTTGACTGAGCAGCAGCAAAAGATCTGTCGTCCTTATGTGGGGTTGGTTCACTCTCATTGTGCTGCCCATCGGCATTGCGTTGCTGGCGCTCAACTATCAACAGGAACACGTGAGTACGTGACTCAATGAATGACGGGAGAGATCTCCACGACATTCACCCTGTTGTTGATCTTCTCTCTGCTCTGCTCTGTGTGTGCTGTACTGTGCGGGTCTGCAGAGGCCGAACTACCTGGGGTATGAGCCGCTTGACTTCGCTGGCTACTGCATTTCACTGGCGGCCAAGCCCCTCATCAAACTCTTCTATGCGCAACCCAATCTAAACAACCGCACTATCACTGTGAGAGCGGACAGACAGACACCCATGCATCAGCTGACACACGTCTGTCTGTCTGACCTGCCCTCTGTGTGTCTGTCTGTATGTGTCATCTATTTCGTTGGGTAACATCCATCAATCAGCTGGATGGCTATGGCTTGAGGGACACTGTGACAATCCTTCGCACGGAACACGGGGTGCCCTTCATCGAGGCCAAATACGGTCAGTCAGTCAGTCCGCCAGCGCACACGGATGAGTCCAGCTGCAGTGTGTCGTGTGTGTGTCTGTCGTGTGCCGTGTGGTTGATTGTGCGTGATGGGTGCATTACAATGCAGAGACTGACGGTTGGTTCGCCCAGGGCTTCATGCACGCCACCGACCGCCTGTGGCAGATGGAAATGAACCGACTCGGTCGGTGAGCCGCGCGTTAAGCCGTGTGGTCTGACCACCTTCTGATGATGTGATTGTGTGTGCTCACTTGTGGGTGGGTCGATCAGTGATGCAGGGCAACATGTCCGTCATGGTGGGGGAGAAAGCCATCACAGCCGACCATTGGGCGAGGTTAGTCTGTGTGTGCCTCTGACAGTGTCCGGAGAAAGATATGTGCTGCTTGCGGTGTGTGTGTGTGTGTGTGTGTGTATGTATCAGGCTGTTGGGCACTTATGAGTTGGCCCAGAGGGACGCTGCGGCCATGTCGGCAGAGGACCACGCCATCGGGGATGCATACACACGAGGCGTGAACGCCGTCCTTGATGACATCCGCGGCAAGGGGTCCTTCGCCAGGCTGCCCCTGGAGCTGCTCATCCTCGGCCACACGCCGCAGCCATGGACCGTCGCAGACAGCGTCGGACTCGCAAGGTTCTACTCCTTCCAGCTCTCGCGAGGATGGGCTTACGAGCTTTTTATGCGGCGATTTGAGAACGAAGTCAGAGAGCTGGCCCAGGAGCTGGTGCCAAGACATGACGCACGAGTGCCTTTCGTCAACGAGTACGGAGCCCGTCCGGCGCTGTTCGACCAGAATGGCCAGCCCATGTCGCTGCCCGAATACCCGCAGATCGCAGAGTGGGCCACATTGCCTTTCCACTCTCTTATTGCGGACTTGGAGGCGGCTGCAGGGGGCAAGGCAGCACCATCACCGCCGCCAGCAGCAGGCAAAGTGGATACTGCTCATCTGGACGGGATGAACATCGGTCTGGGGGATGGCTCGAATGGCTATGCTGTCTCGGGCAAACACACGGCGAGCGGCAAGCCGATGCTTTCGGGTGATCCCCACCTGGCTGCATTGCGGCCGGGATTCTGGTACCCCAATGCGGTCAAGATGGGCTCTCAGTGGACATTCGTGGGCGCGTCAGCCATGGGCATCCCCGGCTGGTTTGCCGGGACGAATCGGCATCTGGCTTTCACGCCCACAGTCAGCTACATGGACAGCGAAGACGCCTTTGAGATCTCCCTGGGCACCGGGCAGCACAACGGCAGCTACCTCTATGCCGGCAAGTACCTACCCATTCGCAGCAAGACGGTGGAGCTGAATGTTAAGGGGCGGCAGGAGCCGCAGCAGCTGCAGCTGAGATACACCCACCACGGCCCGCTCGTGAGCGACGCCTTGCCCGAACTGGTCAACATCACGCAGCTCGACAGCGCCACACGTGCCATCGCGTTGCGGTCGGGGTCTCTCCTCTCGCCCTTCTCAGTTTCATGCATGCGCGACCTCGCCACGGCCAAGACCTGGCGTGAGCTTGACAAGGCCATGCAGGAGCTGAAGGTCACCCAACTGACCATGGCCTTCGCCACGGTGGATGGCGACATTGGTGCCATCACCAGCGGCGACCTCCCGAAGCGGTCGAGGCCGGCGAGCCTGCGGGACGGCAGTGACCCTCAAGACGAGTGGACGGGCGTGGTACCGCATTCGCAGCTGCCTGGACAGGTGGTCAATCCTGAGAAGGGCTATGTCGTCATTGCCAACCATTTCACAGCCGCCAATGCGACCGATGTGTTGGGCTTCGGACAGCTGAACGGCTATCGGGCAGCGGCCATCGAGAGGCGCCTGAAGCCGCTGCTGGGCAAAGTGACAGTGGATGATCTCAGGGCCATCTTCACCGATGTGTGGACTCTCGGAGGGCACAGCTGGCGCAAAATGGCGAACAACCTGCTGGCCGAAGGGCCTTCCCCCTGCTTCCCTTATGTGCGTGAGGATGTCTTGCCCAAGGCGCGGGAGCTCTTGGCCAAGTGGAACGAGGAGATGAGCAGCCCGGCGGCCACCGTCTACACTGTGTGGAAGGCCGCGGCGACGTCCCGGCTGCTGGTGTCCTCTGGCATGTCGGCCGAGTCAGTGGCCTTCTTTCGTGGCGCCTTTCCCAATCGGCTGCTCATCCAGGCCAACGAGCTCTTCACACACGACAAACACACCCTGCTGCGGCTCCTCGATGGCGAATCGGCCTCCGGCTTGGTCAGCAAGGCCGGAGGCCGGGAGAGCGTTCTGTGCGGGGCCCTCAACGAGTCGTGGGCTTTCCTGGAGAGCCAGTACGGCAACGATGTGGCCGCGTGGGCGTGGGAGAACGTGCATGCCTTTCCGAGCACTCATGCCTTCTACCCCCTGCCACTGCTGCGGTGAGTGACATGACAACACACACAGGGAGGTCGTACCGCTCTCTCTCTCTCTCTGTGTGTGTGTATGTCTGTGTGTCACTCAGGCACATATTCTCTGGGCCTCCCCAGCCTGGATATGGTGACGAGGACACAGCGGCACCGGCAAAGGCTTCCATCAAATGTCCGTCCGTCGTACACTCACTCACCGACGCACCAAACCGACACACACAGCCATGTGCCTGCACGTGTGCGATGCAGATGAGGAATCGTCTTTGAAGGACGAGTTCGGTCGGCCAGTTGACAGAGCGAGTCGGTTCGTGGGCGGCGTCTTCACGCCCTCTTTGCGCATGGCCATCGACTTGGGCAACATCAGCAGCTCTCGGTGGGCGCTGCCCGCCAGTGTATCGGGCTGGATTGGCAACAGCTTTCAGGACATCGGTGAGGCTTTCCAACAGGGGCAGCTGGTCCAGATGCCGTTCGAGCCGTCCTCTTTTGAGCCGGCCGAGACCTTCACACTTGGCTCGTGAGAGTGAGTGTCACACACAGTGGCGGTTTTATGCGTAGGCTGTTGGTCGTGTGTGTGTGGGTCTGAATGAGTGTGTCACCTACCTCAAGGTGGGCCGTTTCCATCAGGATATCAATCATGTATGGGAGACCCCCACACACATGACATGTAGGTGATGTGAGACGTGTGTGTGTCTTTTTCATGGTGTGTGTGAGCGATACGTACGTATTAGGTGACTTACTGGAATATGTTCGCATTGGCGTGTATGTGTATTTATGTCCCTTTATTCACGGTGTAAAGCCATGCCAACCGACTGTTGAGTCAGATCTGGCGAACAAATGCCATTTCCTGGCCGCGGCCAAAGAAATCCACGGCCGTAAAACGAGCCCTGAGCGATCCGCCTCGGCTGGTCGAAGGCCGAAGCGACGGTTGTTTGCGCAGACTTTGGTGCGTGCGCCGACTCCCGCGAGCAGATAGACTGAACGCTGCCATCCACCCACCAGCCATGACGAGGGTCAAGAAGTGGTACTCAGTGCGCTACCACGAGCGGTGGTGCTTCCAGTCTGCAAAGGCGTGCAGAAAGCTAAGGGAGGGGCTGGTCAAGGTGGAGGGGGACAAGGGAGGGGGCCTCCTTCTCACGGTGACGCTCTACGAGGCCAAGAAGGGGGGCGGCAAAGGCCAGATGCTGGGAATGGACCATCTGGACATCAGGAAGATGAAGGAGTGCCGGTACGGATATATGCATGCACACAGCACAGAGCCCACGGGCCACGATGTATGCATGCATGGTTATTTGCAGAGTGAAGCACATCCGCAAGCTGGTCAACCAGGGCAAGTGGAAGGTGGACATCGACAAGGACGACGAACTGTCGAAGGACGAGGAGCCCGACTCCTCCGACGACGAATGCGAGTACGAGTAGCTGCTGCAAGGGGAAAGGCAGAGGCAGGGGGGACATGTAGCTCTGCCGGTCGGACACACGTAGATAATGAGATAGATCCCACAATTCCGTCCACTTCCTCTGGCTGGCCGGCGGGCTGGCTATCCCTATGTCTGTGTGATGGGATGGCTGCTGCGAGCGAGCGTTGCGACATGCCACAGAGAGAGAAACGACACCTTAGACTCGGCCATCCTCGTGCATGTGGAACACTCGACACTCCCTCGTGCATGTTGAGGACACGTGAACGTCAACGCTGCATGTGTTATGTTACACTCAAGCAGGTGCGTGGCTTGGAACACAATCACAGGGCCGGGGCCGCTGGTTTGTCATATCCCAACTCGACGCATGTGTTGACCTCACTCGCACGCGCCATGCACTGTCTGTCTGTCCTTCTGCGCCCACACACCAATGCCGCCCGGCAAACCCCTTCCACCCATCCATCCATCCATCCATTCATTCCTCTGCCCGACCGTCCCTCATCGCCCACGACGTGTGTCCCGTCATGCGCTGATCTTGATGGTGAGTATGCGGATGTCCTTGTAAGGCCGGTCCTCGCCGTCCGTCCGAACCTGCACAAACACAGGCCAACCAACACCAACAGCCCTTAGTGCCGCTTTCCAGACAGCCAGCCGATGTTAGGTACATTTTCGATTGCGTGGCAAACGTCCATTCCCTGCACCACCCGCCCGAACACCGTGTGCTTGTTGTCCAGCCACGGACAGGGAACCTGCCCACGTCAGCCACACAGCACATACACACACACACACACAGAGAGAGAGAGAGAGGGGGGCATAGAGGGAGCAGCCCAACCACACACACGTCCGTCCGTGTGTGTGGTTGTGGCCGCACCGTGGTGACGAAGAACTGCGAGCCGTTAGTGTTGGGTCCTGCGTTGGCCATAGAGACGGTGTATGGCCTGTCGTGCTTGAGGGCCCGATGGAACTCGTCCTCAAACTCACCGCCCCATATCGACTCACCTGCGGACGGACGCAGAGACAGACAGACAGACACATGGATAATATGGGATGGACGCGTGCGTGTGCGTGTGTGTCTGTCACGCCGTGTGTCCTCACCCCCAGTGCCATCTCCATTAGGGTCGCCTGTCTGCAGCATGAAGCCCTTGATCACGCGATGGAACAGACAATTGTCGTAATAGCTGAAATCACACACACACACACACACAGGGATAGGGAGAGATAGGGAGAGGTCGTGTGGCTGTCTGCTTTGCTACTGACCCGTTCCGCGAGTGCACAGTGAAGTTCTCCACTGTCCTGGGCACCTCCTGAGGGACGGTGGATGGATGGATGGATCGATGGGCGGGTGACAACACAACATACACACACTTGTGCATTGCATGGAGGTCCCGGTTGCTGTCTGTGGGATGCGTTGCGTTGCGTGCAGCTTGTTACGTTTGGGAAGAGCTTGACGACGATGTCCCCGACCGTCGTGTGGATGGTCGCCTGCTTGCCCAGCCGAATCTCACCCGTGTCAATTCCTATCAGATGGATGGATAAATCATCAAATCAACACACCATACATAAGACGTGATTGAACTGGGCAGCTGTACGTCTGTCTGTCTGTCTGTCTGGATGGATGGATGGATGGATGGCTGACCTGCCATGGCCTGTGCCTCTTCCTTGGTGGGCTTCTCGTTGAAGATGTCGCGGCTCTCCTTGACCGAGTCGGGCGGCTCGCGACGGCTGAACAGGTAAAACCTGACAACAACACGCAGCCAACACAAACACAGAGATGCGGCAATTCAGTGGACGTGCTGTACTGTGCTGGCGTAGGGATGTTCGCCGACCTTTGTCTCTTGTATGACGAGCAGAATAGGATGGGGTCAGCGCTCTCCTGCACAATGCGGTCGCCACTCCCACTCATAATCGCACCCGTGGCCTTCTTCTGCACACCGCACGCACACACAGCAGTGATTGCAATGCAGTGTAGCAAGTGACAGACCTTCTGTGTGTGTGGAAGTGTGTGTGGTTTGTGGTGGCTGGGTGGGTGGCTGACCCGCTGCGGTTTGCCCTGGAAGAGAGCGATAGCAAGGAACCGCTCGCCGCTCTCGGGCCGACCCAATATGCGGCTCAACTGACACGCACACACACATGCCATGCAGGGAGTGATAGGCTGATGTAGTGTGGCTGGTTTGGTGGTTCCCTCCCTGTGTGGGTTACTTTACTTACGTTGTTAGTGATGATGTTGACGACTTTGATGCCGACCATGCAAGGGTAGATGAGGAGGGTGGAGCTCTCGTCGAACACTATACCCTGCAGGTAAAACGCATCAGACTTGCGCAACTCCTGGTGGACACACCACACACACCACACACACCACACACACAGGGGGAGGGGCATTAATGGACTGCATGGCATGTACGTGTGTTTGCCTCTCTGCGTGTGTGTGTGGATTGGTCCCCTCCGTACCTTTTCGGTAGCGAGTCTCCTGCCGAAGTTGATTTTGTCGAGGTGCAGCTGCTCCATCAGCGGGTCTGACTGGGCTGTCGTGTACATCTTCACACACACACACACACACACACAAATCCATACCATACACGCCAGCATCTCGTCGTCACGGCTGGCCTGCCCGGCCTACATCGATGCTCTCGTCGTATTTGCGGATCATTTTGCCCGTCGACAGCCGAAACACCCGCAGATGGAAATCTGTTCAAACACATCAACCACCAGTAAGGGAGTGCCCTCCCCTCCCTTCCTTGGTCTGCGTGTGTCCGGGGTGTACGCGTACCTTCGCACAGACATGCAAACAGGTTGCCATCAGGACTCACGGTAAGCGAGAGCGCGTGTGTCTTGCTCTACACACACACACACACACACGCAACACTTAAACGACCCATTACGCGATGCCTGCCCTCCCTCCCTCCACCCATCGCACCACCCAACTCACCTTGAGCAGTTCAAACAGGTCTGTGTCGCTCTTGAGGGTGAACTGGATCCGCCCGCCGGTGCTGGCCGGTGTGGGCAGCTGAAGTGTGTCGGGGTCCCACATCTCCAGCCCACCCGACTTGTCCGCCGACACCACGCAGTGCAGTGCCGGCACGTAATGCAGCAGGTGCACCGCCTTCATGTGACGCTCGAACACTCGCAGTGGAGTGCCTGAGGGGTCCGTGGCCGTCACCAGACGCACCTTCGGACACCCCTTCTCAGATCTGCACACACACAGACAGGTGTCTAAGGTGGATGGATGGATGGATTGCATGCTTGTTTCTTTGTCTTGGTGTGGGCTGGGCTGAGCGTGTGATTGATTTCTACTATCCATACATGGCGACAACGGGTTCGGCGGAGTCCCTCGGGTGGACGAATGCCAGGGCCAGTGGGGTGAAGTCAAGCTTCATCATGCACGTCATGTCTGACGTGAAGCAAGCAAGGAACACCAAACCACAGACCAAACCACCGCATGCCATGCCACCCACCCACCCACCCACCCACCCACCACACACGCACAACGAACGAACACTCTCATTCTTGCTCTCCTGGGTTACCGACCGAAGTTGAGTATGTCGAAGAGTTTGAATGCGTTGTCGGATCCGACGCTTCCGAGGTAGATGCCGTCGGACGAGACGGCCATGGCGAGGAGTGCGCCAATGTGGGCCCTGAAGTGCTTGACAAACTCGATGCCCTCGTAGCTCTTCTTCCAAAACTTGATGTGCCCGTCGGCGCTGCCCGTCATCACAAACTCTACCTCGTTGCTCGCACACACTGATATATGGACATGAGAGCACGGTAAACCGTGTTGTGTTTGTCGTGTCGTCCGTCCTCTGCCTGCCTCCCTCCGTGGTTACCTACCTACCGTGTGTGATGGTTTGTCTGTGCATGTAGCTCTTCTCGTACATGTCACACGTCGGCAGGTTGTCCAGGTAGACCTGCTCGTTCACCGCAACTGCACCACACATGACCACAAAAGCAACAAACCCAGCAACGCCAGGATGCACTCACTGCACTCAATTGTCATGATGATAACACTGCGTCAGTCAGTCAGTCAGTCACCTTTCCGCTTCTTCTTGGCCGGCTGTGGCGGCATCGGCATCGGACCTGACAGTGTGTCAATCAACACAACGACAACCAGCGCAATGACAGACAGACAAGCACACTCACACACGTGATACATACACATCACATCACTGACCCAAGTCATCTTCATCGCCGCCACCTGCAGGCGGATCCAGATCTGCCCGCTCCGAAGTCCCATTCGCATCATCAGCTCCATTCTGATCTTCGTCCGCCGCTGCTGGAGGCGGCAGGGGAATGTCAAACGAGTCGTCTGCCATGCCTGCACCGCTGCACTCTCCCTCCCGTTGAGCTTTGCCTCTCAGCGATTTCAGGGAGCACCCTAGGCGGCTTGCATACTTTGCGAGCTTAGCCAGCGAAGAGGGGCAGGTCAGTATTCACTGACGAAGGGATGGAAGAGGACGAGAGGGACTCAGATGATCAAAGGGAAGTAAGGGAGCACTCTTGATGGATTTCGACGAGTGGTTCCACGCAAGATTGGACAGACTCACAGAGCCCGACTTCGACGCACGCAAAGGTCAGATCCAGCCGTGCAGATGTCCGCCACGCTCTCTTGCTGAGTGTGCTTCCCTGTTATTGTGTGTGCAGGTCCGTCGCCCCGTGTGATTCCCCATGTGACGTTTGTCGTGAGCTACGCCGCCAGCTGGGCGTTTGCCTGCTGCCTGCTGCACCTGTACGACGATGTGCCGCGGGAGAGGACGGGGGCGTCGTCCTATGAGATCATCGCCTTCAATATCGCCTGCTTCATCATGCTCCAGATATTCGTCATGGAGGTCAGCCAGCCAGCCAGTCGGCCCGGTGTGTGGTTCGTTATCCCTCCCTGTGTCTGGACGCCATTGAAATGTGTGCGTGTGTGTGTGTGTGTGCAGCTGTTCCCGGTGATATCGCTGATCTTCAGTCTGCAAAAGCGTCCGGCCTTCAACTACCTACACCTGAAGCTCAAGCAGGCCACGCTTAACCTGGGTCTCCTGTTGGTGGGCATCTGCTGCTACGCAACCCTCATATGCAACTCGTGGCCCGTCTTCATCGACCCCGTCACCGGCAACCGCCTGTACGGCGCCCGCCTGATGGAGTGGACCGTCAGCTGCCCACTATCCATTTACCTCACCGGGCGGCTCACATTCGGCCGGCCGCTGAGCGTGGTCATCAAACCCATGGCGTGTATGTCGCTGTCCATTCAGCTGGCACTCGCGTAAGCTTAGCAGGGAGGCCATGCCATGAGTGGCTGAGCACCCATCCCCTTATATATCTCGGTCTGTGTCCTTCCCTGTGTATTGTATGTGCAGGGCGACGCTGCTGCGTCCGTCGTGTTTGTGGCTGCGGTGGGCCTTCGGCGTGCTGCCTCTGTGCTGCTTCCTGGGGGCGCTTCACTACATGCTGGACTTCCTAGTCAAGACCAAGACCAGGGAGCCTGGTGACGGAGAGGCCGATGACGCGTCCAGCAGCGACGGCAGTGGCGCGGTGGACGCGTCTGTGGCGCAGCATAAGCCGAGGGAATGGGTGAAGAAGACCATTCTCGGCAGCAAACTGGGAGGATGTAAGTCGACAGATAGACGAACAAGGGACAACACAGTCCTGGAGGGGAGGGGGTGGTGACTGACTGGCTTTGTTTGGGGTGTGGTGTGTCGCAGGGACGCTGTGTGCGATAGTGTTCCATCTCACCTTCCTGGGCATCATGCCACCTTGTGTGGACCAGGTAGGTCACTTGACTTGCACCGCACACACATATCATGATGGATGCAAATACACAGACAAGCTTTAACACCAGCTGGTGCATACGGGGTGTGTGTGTGTCACATGTGTCAGATTTTGTATACTGTGTTTGATGCGACGGCCAAGTTGGTGGAGTGTGTGAGTCAAACGGCCCTCCGCACCACAGAGTGGGATGCCTTGGTCATGCAGGTTAAGATGGTCCAGCAATCAGCCCACAACGGGTCAGCCACTGACCGCACGCACACTAACACGAAGACACCCACTTGACCTTCCTCTCTGTGTGTTGCATCCCATCCATCTCTTGCATATCAGTCCGAGCCCCGAGATGGCTGCCCGTCTGGAGCTGCACCAGAGCAGGAAGGACGAGCTGGAAGACAGGGTGCTGCTGTCACACCTCAGGGACCGCAGCACATCCTCCTCGCCCGAACGGCTGTCCACCAAGAGCGGGGGATTCAGACGACCATGCCCGCCAAGGGACACACTGCTGCTGTAGCTAGAAGGGGAGAGACAAGAGGGAGGGAGGGGTTGAATGGGGGTTTTGTCTGTCTGTCCGTGTGTCGTCCCTGCCCCTGCCCGTGTCCAAAGGAACGAGGCTGATCCATGAATGGATGGATGGATGGATGGATGTGGACGCGGGTGGGTGGGGGGCGGCAGAAATGGCCGGCCGTTTTATGGGAGCGGGTGAGAAAAAGACGGAGGAGGGATGGGGGACGGGCCTTATCGCTACTGTTGCGTGTTTACATGTGTGTGTGCGTGTCTGTCAGCTGTGGCGAAGGAGGGAGGGAGGGAGGGAGGGAGGGAGGATGGGGGAGAGGATGGCGCTGTCTTGAGCGGTTACTCACTATTGTGATGTCTCGGCAGCGCTGTGCTGTATAGTCTGAGAAACACAGAGGAAGAGAAGAGAGAGATGGGCACCCGATAGGTACCCGCTTGCTTGCCTGCCTGTCTGCCTGCCTGGCCATCTGTGCGGATGAGAGAGGAAGCGGGGAGGTGCGGTGCTCTGTGTGTGTGTGGGACCGACCACACACGCACACGTATTTGTAACAGCTTGTGTCAGTGGGTGAGCCGCTGGCTGGCTGGCTGACTGGCCAATGGACAGATTGTCCATTCAGCCAGCCAGCCAGCGGATGGATGATGAACTGCCTAATGCTGTTTGAATGACGAACTCTTTCCCCTTGCCTACCGATGGATGACTGGATGGATGACTGGATGGATGGATGGATGGCATTTTTGCCACAGCCTGTGGGCCTCTGCTGTGGCGTGCGTTTGAGGTGCATGGAATTTGCATGTCGTGGACTCAGGTGTGCGTGTGTCTGCATGCATGCCTGCTTCGTGCTGCACGGGTGCGTTGGTGCGTCGGTCGACTCGTGTTTTTGAAACAAATAACTCTCACACAACGCAGTAATTCAGTTCATATCAATGTCTTATACATGCCGACATACACAGCACGGCCGTCTCTCATCTCACCCTCATGAAAGAAAGCCTATGCAGACAAACGTCACGTGACGTGTTTGTTCGGTCAGCCACGTAAGAGAGCTCACTGATCGATCTCACACAGACGTCTCACACCACAGCACAGCCACGTACCTATTCATTGCAGTGTGGGCACCGCCACATTGAGAGCGAAGAAATACCACTCGCAGGCAGGAAAGTAACACGGGTAAAACCTCCACGCTAGCTACCACCGTCTGCCTGTCGGTGTGTTGTGTCGGTCAGACATCATCAGGGTTGGTTGCTGCTTCTCTCTAGCCATCCAATGGCATCATATGATGGCAATGTTGGTCTCTCTATCCATCCTGGGGGTTTGGCAAGGAAGCATCATCGGAAGAAGTTGGCACAGCAGCATACTGTGCGGAGGCGCCGTTGCCGGCGGCCGCCTGTCTTGCCGCTTTGGGTGGAACCGGGAAACAAAAGGACCAAGTCGCCATCCCGATTACACACGCTGGTGAAATAATCCCCATCCACAGAGTGCCCAGGGTTTGATCACAGGCAGCTCCATGCAGGCTGCCCGATTCACTGTCGAAGCACCAGGGATGACTGGTGAAGCTCCACCACCAGAAGTGCCCGATGATGGGAATAGGAATGGCCACCGTGTAGATGGAGAAAGTGACGACATTCCAGGGAGAGCTCGACAGACCATGATTCCACTTGCGGTGCACCGAGAGCCCGTAAGGGACAATGGCTGCAAGCATCAGCAGGGTCACGACGCCAATAGAGGCGTGGATTGCCCCACTTCCAGCGATGAAATCTCGCCACACAGCGGCCGCCTCTTCGTTACTGTGGTCGACAAGCCACGCGTAAGACGCCTTGCAATTGCAGAACTTCGCGTTATCGCTATAGCGACTGACGCTGCACTGCTCAAATTCCTCTCGACCAACGAGCGATTGTGCGACGCTGTGCGGATCACATCGAGTGGCGTTTCTGCCAGGCACGAGCTCCATAGAGAGACTGTAGGCCGAGAGGGTGTAGTGCTGCTTCACCTCCACATATGCGCCCTCGTGAGATGCGAAGCCACCACCAGTCAAGCGGTCGGAAAAGAGGGGAAGGGTGAACATGACTGCAAGGATGATGGCTGTGAGATAAAACAGGCCGAGTGCCTCATTCAAGACGTCCAGCGCTTCCGACCTGAGCCACTGGGACCTGAGAAGGAACATCAAACGGACAAGGCGTGTGATGAGTGACGCATGAGGGGGATTCTCCCCTTCTTACATCGTGAGCCACTTGTGAGCCACGGGGATCTTCGCAAGAATTATTGGTTGGAAGCCGAGCGTCGATCTTCGCAAAACTGATCCGAACCCTAGCGCCTCCGGTTCCCACAACGCTCTCTCACGCGCTCACGTCAGGCGATGGAGTGTCCTGGCCAAAGGAGGTAGATGTTTGCCCGGTGTGGGCGTCATTCCTCTGTTGTCGCTGCCTTCGTGGCAAAAATGGCATCCATCCATTCATCGAGAATGGGGCGGCAAGGCGGAGAAGACACTTTCAAGAGCCCATCCTTTTTGGCATCTAATTGTGGAATGATGCACCGCATGGAGTGTGGTTTGGGTCATCTATCTGATCAGTCGGCTGGCTGCCTGTCTGTCTGTCTGTCTGTCTGTCTGTAGAGAGACACATACAGACAGATGGATGGATGGGACATTTCCTACCTCTTCATTCGATTCACGTCTTCCACAATACACACAAAGTGAATCCGCAGTCGACACTGTGACACTGCTTTGCTTGCTGTACATGCTATCTATCGACATAGACATGCACTCGACGCATGCGCAAAGATACTGCACCAATAACAATGGTGCATGCACGCAGACAGAAAACCGAGATGATCGTTACTCACAGAGGCGTGACGACGAGGCCATACATACAGAGACATACATTAAGTGAGTACGATGGCCACTCCCCTTCTGGCCCATCTGAGCGGGTCGCTGGCCGCAGTGGGCAGCGGCAACATCATGACAGGCGTCTCCCGCTTGTCTGTGTTGGTGTACACAGGGCACTCATAAGACTGATATGCGATAGATGAGACAGCAAGGGAGATGGAAGACGCCTGCCTGCTGGCGGCAAACGGGGCAGCAGCCTTCCTCAGCTGTGGTCTGGGCGACTGTGAGGGGGAGGGAGTGGGCGGCTCATCGAAAGTCACTGCCGACTGTCGCCCTTGTACGTGCCTGCTCTGGGCGAGCGACGTTCTCCGCTTGGCAGCCTTCTCGAAGAGGGCTGCTGTGGGTGAGGAGGCCTCCTCGGGGGTGGGGGAGTGGGGTGGCTGCTGCTCCCCTCGTGTGAAGATCGACTTCCTTCTTTGCACGGGGGGAGATGGGGAGAGGCCAGCGGGGGGCGGTACGAGCGTCACACGACGGCCACTAGTGGCTGTGGCCCTGACAGAGAGACACACACAGTAGGGATGGGAGACATCGGTGGGTGGATTACCTACCTGCCGTCCATCATGGCGGCGACGGTGTCGGTGGCAATCTTGACTCTGCTCGTCGAAGACTCGGCCTCACTTCGCTGTACCGACGAAGCCATCGAGGCGAAGGCCACTGGCTGCCGCCGGGCGCCATGGAGAGAGGCTCTTGAGCTCTTGCCTGTGATGGAGCTCTGTGGGAACCGATCGGGCATTGAACTGTCGGCAGTGACAGATATGGGGAGGGGCAGTGATGAGGCATCGGCTGACGTGATGGAGATGTGCACAACGGGAAGGGTGGACTCGAGTTGGCGGGGCCGGAGCTCCTCCAGCTGATAAGTGTGGGGGTCCCACCTGGCCCCCTGCAGGGTCAAGCCGTGCACAAAGTAGCCATCACTTGGATGCTCCGCTATGGCCATGGTGGTCGTGACGGTGTGGTGCATCTGCACACGCTCCACAGGAAGCTGCAGCCTCATGGCCTGCGTCATGACCATGGCCTTGACGAGCCGCGACGGACTGAAGAGGGCGCCCAGCCAGAAGGAGGGCGGCTCGTAGCCGAGGTTAGTGCCCTGGGGGTCCCGCAGCGCGGCCCACTGGCTGATCCACGACACCCGGGCAGAGAGGGCGGCCAGCCAAGAGGCCAACGACGGGGGCGGATGGAGAGGGTAGGGAAACGAATGAGAGTACCTGCAACAGAGGAGGCAGACGTTTTCGGCTCTGGCTGTCAGTGTGTCTCGCGCACTGACCATAATTTTGGGAGCTGCTGGTTGGCGATTCTGTCAATGAGTGTCTCGATTGGTTCTGTGAGGCTCTCTGTCCGGCCGTGTAGGGCCTCCAGCGCCTGGTGGAGACTGTCGCTCATCAGCTGCAGCAAACTGTTGTACCGATCCACCTGACGAAGGCGGAGACACAAGTAAGTATACCGCATAACAGCCCTCGAGGCATTCAATACCTCTGCGAGCAGAGCCACTGCAAGGCCGTTGACGAAGCTGGTGGTGCCCTCTCTCCTGGGCCACATGCGTCTGTCCTCCTTCTGTATCCCGCCCGCTGCCACCGACGTGTCTGCCGCCAGCGAAGAGGACGACGCATTGCTGGGCTGACGCCTGGGCCTCTCCGCAACGATGCTGGCCTTCTTCTGAATAATCGTGCTGCGCTTCTTTCGAAATGGTCGTGGCGAGGGGGCGACCGACGGGGTATCTTGTGTGTCCCGCTTGGCATCGTCAAGCTGCTTCTGGCTCAATCGCCTTCTCGGAGAGCCTTCAGTGCTCTGTGCAGCAGCAGATGGGGCCGTGGGCACTTTCAGGACGATCTTTGCGGGCAAAGAGTCGAGGACCCGCTGGATGAGGGCGGCTATTGAGGACGGGCGAATGGCGTGGACTAATGTCTTCTCGGTGTCGTGTTGCTCGTGAGTATGCATCTCGGCGGACAATGTCATGAATGGGCCATGCTCCGACGAAGGCTGCAGCGACGCGAGTGAGTGGAGGAAGCCCACTGTGTTGGAGCGCTCGATGGCGAGAGCAGCGTTCGGATGGAGACCCAACAGCTGATACGTACAAATATATACGGACACTTCGGCGCAGCTATTACCCTCTCCTATTCCTTTCCTGCGCATCGCATACCCTAGGGTCGTCAGCCTCCGGCCATTTGTTTGCCATGTTCCTCATCTCTTCCACGCCCCATGTCGCCAGCTCAGCCAGCGGCGGCAGGCAATACACAGCAGATGACACCTCAGGCATCAGCGACAACCAGCTGGTCGACGAAGCGTCCGACAGATTGACTATTTTCGGTTGCAGGACAAGTGCCACGAGTGATGCGAGGCATCTGGTGTCGATGGCGTCAGTGAGCCGGCCTCCGTAGTGCAGTGTGGACAGCACGATGCGAAAGGCGTAGACAAGGGACGGAGACAGCAGGGACGGCGGCGTCTGAAGAGACAGGGGTCATGGGACATAGCGCGGTATCTCGATGCTTACCTGTGCGGCGCTTTGCTTTGAGAGGAATAGAAGTGAGGCGTTGAGGTCGCTCGCCTGGAACTGATATGCAAAATTGAAACCCAGCGACCCGTAATGACGGCGTTCCTGGAACACAGACATATGTCAGCATCCAAATGGCAAAGAGTCTCGTGATGCATCTCACACACCTGTAGAACCGCATGCAGGAAACACGTAGCCATGACCACACGCCTCCAGGCGCCCTTAATCTTTCTCTCGGCGTCCATCCCACCAACGATGCTTCCCCGCCTCTTGGCGGGCAGACTATCGCCCCACACCGACTCGGCGACGGCCGCCTCAGCTGCCCCGCTGAACGCCTCTTTGAGGCCGTGTGGCGGCTCGATAACCAGCGATCGTGAGGCAAGGATGACCGGCTCGGGGAAGCCTGGTGTTGGGAGAGACGTGAGGAAGATGCGGAAGGATGCGGGGAGGTTCGGGGTCTGTGCGGGGTCCTGTTGAGACGAGACGAGACATGAACGCACGCAGATACCCTTTGGCTGGCTGGGACATCGCTGACATATCTTCCCTCTTGCCTGTATTCGGTGGATCCACTTCTCCATCTGGCTTCGCCCTGTTGGCGCCAGGTGTAGATTTTGGAGAATCACCCACGGCCCCTCGCCGCGCCCTCTCTGCCTCTTGTCCGCCCCGTCGTCTTTCCTCTTGGGATCAACAAAGCCGGCGAGCACCTTGTCCACTTTCCCTTCCTGCCCTGGCCCCATGGACAGGATCACGAGCTCCAACCCTTTCCGTAGTGGCTCGGCTTGGTCAGTTGCACGAGCGGCACTTGTAGGCACGGCCCATAGAGGCTCATCGGCAGATGGATGCTCGTCCGCCTGAGGGTGGGACGACGCAGAGACGTCTGCTTTATCCTCCGCGGGCTGCGATGAAGGGAAGAGCTTCTCGGCAAGAGCAAGAAGGGCCTAATGAGAGACAGAGGCCGGTCACAACCTCTTGCAACGGGCTTGTGTGTTTCCCTGACCTCTGTTGGGTCAGCTCCAGGGCCAAAGACAAGCAGAAGGGGCTCTCTCGATGTGGCCTCGCCCACCATCTGCTCCAACTGAGCCGTCACGGACTCGTGTCTCCTGCCATTGCCGGCTTCTGTCCCCTTCGCTTTCTCTCCCTCTTCACTTTGTTCCTTGCCGTCGTCTCCTCCGTCCATGGCCATGAGCGACGGAAAAGCACGATCGAGGAAGCAGTGCACGGCACCGTGGAGCTTCGCGGGGAACAGGAGCGCATACAGAAATAGCTGCTCGAAGAGTGCCGACACATGCGCTGGCGAGATCTCAGTGGCTGCATCAGGTGGGAAGGGTGAGGTGGTGGGCAGCACCAGGCCCACTGCCTGACAAATACGGCCGATCTGCTCGAAGGGATCAGTGGTCGATGTGGGGGATGAAGGCTCGCCTCGTTGCTGCTGCTGTTGCTGCCAGGGAGAGAGAGGCTCGGTCACTGCTGTCATTTCCAACAGCTTCAGCGCACGCTGGTCCTCCTGTACCCATCATGAGACCACCCAAGAAAAGAGTCTGCCTCTCTTTGTCTCCTTTTTCGATCTCTTGCCTTTGTAAGTGCATCCTTCCATCGATTGGTGTTGAATATCACGTGCAGCGGCACATCCCTCAGCCAGCCGTTGGAAAAGAAAGTGGGCAGCAAAGTGACCGCCTTCCACTGCACATACGGGAAAATGGACGGATCCGGTGACTCGTCGGGCAGCTCGATGGCTGGGGGAGGGGCGTTGCGGAGGAACGGTGACAGAGACGGCTTGGCACCGTGAGCTGACGTCCGCTGCTCTGTAATCTGCTGTGCCACCTGCAGACACACAGACAGAGTGGAGAGAGAGGGCGGGAAGTTCATTCCATTGATCGAGACTCACATACATCAATGAAGAAGCGCCATTGCGCGTTGGTCATGGTGTAGTTGCGCCGATCTGCTGGTGAGGCTGCTTTCTGCTCCTGGCCGTACACATGTGCACACAGCAGGAGGGAGAAGGGCAGCCGGTGACGCTCAAACAAACCCCTACATGAGTCAGTCAAAAAGGAGAATGCAATGCATGTAGACCCCGCTGCTTCCATCTGTTTGTGTATATATACGGACCTGCATACGTGCTGATAAATGCTCCGAGTGACCTCCCCTTTCGCCTCCATCAGTCGCACCTCCTGCGGCGTGCCCTCTTGCCTTCTCTCCTTCACATGGCGGATGGTCTCGGCAAACAGTTTCGTGACGGCTGCCAGCGAGAAGCGATACATGTGGTCGAGCCGAGGCAGGAGGCTCACGACGTGGTAGAGAGTGGCGCCCCGCTCAGCCAGGGGGATGAACGGTCTGCGGCTTAGTGTCAGCTCTTCCGAGAGCTTCTGTGTCTCCTCCAGCCGCTGTCTGAGGGACAGATGGGTGGCTTGGGCGTTGGCCATTACCCCGATCACCTCCTGACCCATTCAGGCAGACAGGAACAGAAAGACATGAGGCTGGGTGTGAGGCGTGGGGTCATGGGTGTGTGTGACCTCATCATCGAGTATGTTCCCCTCCCTTTCGTCCGACATCACGTCAAGCGTCACGTGCTCGAGGCGCTTCAACTCGCTGTTGGCAGAATGGAGCTCTAGGGCCACCGTCAGGCGTCGCGACTCCATCTGCACCAATGCGCGAATTTATAGCTCAGTCACGCACTGCCAAATGACAGGCAGCAAGCTGTACCTGTGGTGCCTCGCAACGGACCACCTCCGTCAGCAGCTGTTCTAGTAGACTTTCGTGAGTCACACTGAAGTTGATGACTGTGACCCGCGTCTGAATCTGAATGCACATCACATCGTGCGCCGCGTGCAGCGATTTGACTGCCTGCCACATCCATCGGTGCATTCCTTTCCTACCTCTGGCCGGAAGTCAGGCGTCGCCTGTGAACACCGCAGTGCGAGGGCGAATCCAGAGCTCACTCCCACCTCCTGACCGCCCAGCCGCACTGACCTATACGTCGTCGAGCGCTCCTTGCCCGATTCCTTCACAAATTGCAACAGGCACCAGTGTGAAATGTGAGAAGTTTCTGACTGCTCTGCACCTCTTTCGCAGTAGGTCGGTGGTTTGTATTGCAGAGGTTGAGCAGTGGGTAAATGAGTGGCGGGAGGGGGTCTTCGCAGTCGTCCACTAGCAGGGGCCGGCCCTCAGAAAGAGCTCGCGTGATTGCCGCCTTGATATCTGCTGCCCTGGCCTTCACGCTGATGGGCCTGGCTCCATCCCTCGAGCGATACCATGACTGACCCTGACCCTGCGCAACGAAGCAACAGGAAGCAAGTGCAGTGCGTCTCATTTTGGGCGAGCTCACCCACCTGTGGGTCGATGAGGAGTGGCCATCGTCTGCACTGTGTGGCAATGACGCTGTTCGTCAGACTGGCGGCGTCGCTGGGCAGCCCCTGCAGCTGCCACTGACACACCTGTGCATACTCGGCTGGCGAGAGGGACCGGCGAATCGTCCAGTTGGACGCTGCCCGGACGTGGTGGGTCCGGAGGATCTGCAGCCACTCGGTGGTGAGGCGGTCTCTCATTTCTTGTGGAAAGGGGCCACTGGAACAATCAGGGAGAGACAGACGCACAACAACATGAGAGTAGATATATCCTTGTGCTCACACTCACATATATACCAGTATGTGAGGGTGGCCGTGGCTGCGATTGTGTCTCCGAGTAGCGTGTCCACCTGTGTGTTGAGGTCGCGGAGCTCATCTGTCCACCGCACGGCCTCGTCAGACAGCACTTCGGTCAACTCCTGTGTGCCACACACAACGAGACGTTACTACTTGGCACCAACACGCCCGTCTTCCCCTACCCCTCTCACCCACCTGTCCCCTCTTTAGTCTCCTTTCCGCAATCTGTTTCTCTTCCCGTAGCCGCTCGAGGTCTGATTGCGTCTCGTCGTAGAGTGCCTCGAGCCCCCCCAGCCGCTCGGTCATCTCCGACAGCTCTGACTGCTTCTTCTCCAGGGCATCCTGCGCCTCATGGAGGCGCGCCTTCTGCTCCTCCAACCGCTGACGCTTCGGCTGCACCTGCACAAGGATGCCAGTCGGGGGCCAAAGTGCGGTGTGTGGAAGTCGGGGGCCCGTCGCTCGGTTGTTTGTCTGCACTCACTCTTTTGAGGACGTGTGCATAATGGTGGATTGCCCTGCACCAGAGACATAAGGACTTGGCGGCTTGCGACTGACGCTCCACTGCTTGCGGGTCAAACTGATGCGCATGACCCAAGGCAGAGAATGCACATGCGTATGGCTTCACAGTTCAGTCCGTGGCAATCGACCTGCGGGTCGTCCAAGTAGGTCTGCAGCTTTTGAAGCAACCTCTCCGGCACGTGATCTTTGTCATAGCTGGACACACGCAACAAACGACGCGAAAGAGACGGAATCGCCTCGTCTAGATAGATTGTGTGTCACTCACTCGAAGATTCTGCGGACGAAGTTGACGTCTCCCATGATCTGTCGTGCAGTTGACCAGTCTTCTTTGTAGCCCAAAAGCATGCACACGCACTCGACCACAAGGCGCACAGTCGACGGCGGGTTCTGGAAGCTCTTGAGCTCCTGGATGTCCTTGCGGTCTAAACGATCCACTGCTCGCTCGGCGCTGACGTAGAGACAGACAGACAGCAGGAGAGACAGACACATGCAGCGAGTGCTCGTGTCGTCCTTCTTCCGTACCGTTCGTAGTCTCCCATGATTTCGTCGAGGTCGCTTTGTGCATCGTCTGTAATGACCCGCACTTGCTCGGCATAAAGCTGCACGTCCTTAGCCTCTTGCTCAACCACACCACGCAAACGACTCAACGCAGCGCGATTCTGGATAGGTGAGACACAACAAACGATGAGTGAGAGATGTGGAAACCACCCATCAAAGACACGCACCTCGTCCATTTTCTTCAGCAGCTTTGCGGTGTCGTCTTTCTTCGCGTCGAGTGATGGCTGCAGCGCCTCGAGCCGCCCCGAGAGGCTGAGGACCCCTTCACGCCCTGTCCGCAGCTGCTTGAGGCCCTGCTGCAGCATGCCCTTGCGGGACGCTATGAGGTCGTGGCGAGACATGAACAGGTCTGCCAACAGCACACATGGGAGTACGGCTGGAAGATCCATGCATCTGTACATGCACGACTGGCTGACCATGAAACGTCGCGAGTGTGTCGAGGAAGTCTTTCGCCGTCACACACCAATGATGCCCAGCAGAGGCGGCGTCGCCCTCGCGATCTTTCCCTCCATCATGATGGGGCGAAGTCTTGTCCACTACTGAGCCGTGTGTAGCCACCAAGGCACGAGCCACATGGCCACGCCAGCCCTCCTGAACAGACAAAGGGGATACTATGATCCGTGGCAAAGTACGAGAATCCCCGTTTGTCGGTCACCTGTAAGACAGCCACGGCGTCAGTAGGCATTTTGAAGTTTGCGAGTCGGGCGGACGCGACGTGGTGGAAGTCAAAGTGGGTCCAAGGGTCCAACCATGCTTTGTGGCAGTGAGACAGAAGGGGCGGAAAGTGCAGGCACTGCTGACGCAGGGAGGGGTGCGTCGGAGACATGCAGATGAAAAGGTGCAGGCGTCTCTTCACTCTGAATCCGACACACAGCAGTTTCTGCGTGCGAAGGCAATGCACTACTTCTCACCGTTGGTTGAAGAGCTTCATGCGTCCGTGGACGTCTTCGTATTCGTCCAGCACCTTCTCCGGCACATTCTCATGAAGCGACTGCACGATCGAATGCACATCGTCCTGCACACAACACAACACAACACAACGCAACACAGAACAACACATACAGGGAGAGAAGCAGAATGCACCCTCTGCTAACACCTGCAGCTCCCTCCCTCACTCCCCATCCCCTACCTGCGTCCACAGGTCCACCATGCCCGTGCCTGCCAGCAGTCGGCTCACGTCTTCCCACACCATTTCCTGCTCCCCATCACCCAGATTCACCATGTGGCCATCACTCACCAGCAGCACACTCTCACACCCCTCAACCCCCGCACACTTGAGCGCCCGCCTCTCGACGTCGCGCCATGGGTCAACGCCCAGCATGACGTTGCCCTCAGGCTCGAAGAGCTTGGCCCTCAAGATGAATGCTGCCAGTCGGCAGAGGGACTTCTTGCCGTAGCCTGTGGGGCCCAGCAGCAGGGCGTGGCCTTGCGCGTGCGTGCCGATGCGGATCAGACGTGTCAAATGGTCCAGAGCATTCGTGAAGAAGACCAGACTGCATGGATGAGGGCACGCAAGACAAACCAAACGTCTACACACGTGAACGTGATATACTTTGCTGGCTCACCGCAACGGGTTGATCCTGCCCTGTGGCGAGAGGTTGTATTCCTCGAGGTAGTGCGCCACCGAGTTGACGACACTGGAGTGCGCCATCTCCTCATACACCCGTGCAGCCACCTCCGGCCGCAGGAATGACCCAAACCGTACCGCATGGCCCTCACCATCAGTCGGTGAGCCGTGTGAGGGCCGCCAGGGGGTCTGGAAGAGGCGCGCCAGGAGGGGAGTGAGAAGGTCGTCGAAGAGGGCTGTCTCCTCCTGGTGCATCAGGGGGTCCCTCAGGGTGCGGGTGGTTTCATGCGTCCACAGCCGGACAAGGGTGTCTTTGTTGGCCACAGTCTCTGGATGCGCCAACAGCAGACCCTGTGGGACGCAACAAGCCACCAGTGTGTGTATATCAGAAGTCGCTCAGCGTCACTCACGTCCATAACCCTTCTGACGTCCCTGAGAGAATACGTGTAGTGGAACTTGAGTGGCGTCGGCTTGAACCTGTCCACGACCCCCTCGAACAGCACCGCTGTGGCCCTCACCAGAGTGGCCACCTGGGCCAGCACCGTGTTCATGAACGGCTGCTTCGGGTGCATCTTGTTGAAGAAATGCTGTAGCAGCGGCATGAAGATCTCTTGGACCTCATTCAGACCAGGCAGGGGCATGGACACCACCTGAGAAAGGGACATGCTCATGCATCAGACAGAAGACGATGATATGTCTCTGTGCATGTGTGATGCCATCCGAACCTTGAAGTGTCTAAGGAGCCTATTTGGCACATAATGGGGGTGCTCGGACATCCGCAGCGGGCCCTCACCCCCTAGAGCACGGGCAGTAGCCAGCACCGCCAGTCGCTCAATACGCTTCCACCCCCAAGTGCCGGCCGTCTCTGATTCACAGCGTCAAAGAGACACCATGTCATGTGGTGCACTGACGTCCCCCTCCCTTCCTACCGTTCCATGCGTACACGCCTCCCCCATCAACGATCTGTCGCAGGCCCTCGAGAGTCGGTTTGTATCCGAAGCGGTCTCTCTTGGGCAGGTTGACATCCTCAATCCATATGATCCCCTGCCGCTTGGACGCAGGCTTGAGCACATGAAAACCCTTCTTGCGCTGCACCGTCAGGCCGCCTTCCAGGGTCTTGACAAGGTGGGCCGGTGTGGACCCCCATGACATGATCGTGTCCATTGTCTGCCATGTATCGCCTCTCCTCCACTCACTCACAAGTTCACCCACAGTCCGCGTCTTGCCCGACGCCGCTCCCCCCACCAGGAGGGCGTGAGAACCCGCATCGCCCTGCTGGTCCAGGAAGTGCTTCAGCATGTGGGTGTAGCACACGGAAGTCGCGGTGGGCACCGTCACCTGCTCAAGGACACATGGAGTCTCGTGTAAAGTTTTTGCTCCCGTGTATCAGCCCTCACTTGCGTCAGCGCCTGTGCATTTGCCACGGCGGCCAGGTCTGGAGGCGATGCAAGGGCCAGCCACGGCACCACATAGCTCTCCGACTCCCAGCACACGCAGAAATCAAACACAGATCCGTAGGATGGCAACACACACCTGATCAACCAAGGAGTCACGGGGTCTTCTGCTGGACAATCGCCTCGTTCAGCCTTACTTTTCCACCTTGTCGACGCAGAGATCGTGAACTCGTTTCCTCAGACCACGCTTTGCGTCTAGCCCCCCGCCCAAGCTCCACGCGAGAGCCGTGGCGAATACGGTCGACAAGTATCGCACCTTGTCGAATGTGCCTACGCCCGGCCCGGCGCCCCATCTTTTGACGATGCGTTTGGGATCGGGAGGGTCGCTATGCGCGGCAGATTGCTGTTGCGGCAAGGTGGATGAATCGAAAATGGTGGATGAAGGGAAGGGATAGGGATCATTGGTTGGATCGGGTTTTAGCAGGGACTCCAGAAGACATAGGAGAGTGTCAAGCACCTGCAGACAATGATGTAATGATACGTCTTCCACACTGCATCGTGTTGAATCGTGTCTCCTGACTTGCATCTCGTTGCAGAGCACAGAGTGAGGGTGCAACTCTGTGCGCCAGAGGTCCAGTGCATGCGGCACCACGGCATACAGCAGCTGCGAAAACTTCTCGATTATCTCGGGATCGATCCAGCTGCCCTCCTTCGGGGCACCACCATTGTTTGCTGCGGGTGGTCTGAGGAAGGTGTCGAGCCACGACTTGAGTCTGGGCCTCCAGAAGTCTGGATGTGCCGTGTGTGCGACGTAGACCATGCCGCACCGACTGACCGTCGCAGGCGATGCGTTCTCTAGCTCGTCCACCTGAGAAGGACACGCGCACCTGTCTCTCGTGTGTGGTTCGCTTCCTTCGTTCGTACTTCAAAGAGAATGCCCATTGTCTTGGCACTGAGTTTGATGCGCTCAGAGTTCTCAAGGCAGAGGACCATGCTGTCATCGAGCACGGTGTTCATGTTCTCGATCCACAGAGGGTCCACCGGCCCATCAAACACCACCCACTTGACTGTCTCCGCCGGCACACTGGCCGCCTTGTCCCTCTTGCCACCCCTGCCCGTGAGAGAGAGCGCCCCGCCCATGAAGGCTCTGTCCAGCGGCCGGCTGCCTGCTGCCGCCATCGCGCGGCATGCGAGGGGCACAATGCCGTCGCGCCATTCCAGGGACTTTGGCTCAAGACTGCCGAACATGTCCTGATCAATCATATTAATGACACATGGACAGGCGGAGGAGAGGTCTGCAGTGCGTTGCATCGCTCACTTGGATAAGGACGCTTTTTGGGTTGACCACCAGAGACTGCACCCCCCTCGCCACGTCGCTTTCTGCACTGCTGTCATCAGACCTCTGGTCTTTCTTCTGTGTCTCTGTGCCTGTCTTCCGCGTGGCATGTGTCGGTTGGGCGTGAGGGTCCTGCTGTGCGGCCAAATGATTTTGTGCGGCTGCTAGCACTCTCCACGTGGCCGATTTGCCGCCTCCTGCCGGCCCAATGAGCATGCACCCGAACCGCACACGGCAGGCTTGAGACAGCTGCGTCAAATCAACGTATGATGGATAGCTGTGTTTCGTCAAGTCTCTCTGCTTTGATTGTTCTTCCACCTGTTCCACTTTGAGGACGGCCTCTTTTTCTGGCTGCAGTGCCAGTGCCTCGAACGCTTTGCCGATCGCGTGGCTCATCGCCTTGGGCACGACACTCCCACCGACACTCTCACTGCCGGTCGTGGCCTGAGTGTGTTTTAGGTGTGGGAAAGTGGCGCGGATGACGTCGTGGAATATGTGGACGTCCGTGTCGTGAAGCACGGGAAACACCACATCCTGACAGAATTACGAGGAGACATGTATGTATGTGTTTGTGTCTTATCAGTGAGCGAGTGAGTGTCCCTGACCATGACGGCCCGCCAAATGAACGTTTCTTCCTCCTCATCTCTGGTGCCATCGCCGCCCTCACTGCTAGCCCCACCAATACTGCGGGCACTAAGAGGCGGCGAAGACCCAGACATACCCCCTACTCCTTTCACAGACCTGAACACAACACACGGCGTAAACTTTCGCTTTCTGGCACGCTGAATGGATGCCCTGGCTTACCTTATCTTTCGTTTGTGCTCCCCAGCGCTCTTTAGTATTGCCTTGAGGGCTCTTAGTGACCAATCATAATGCTTTCGTCTGGGCAGCAGGTGCGCCAGAATGTCGACGCACGTCACCATGTGCTTGGAGAGGCCTGTAGCTGCCATGAATCCCTCCGAGAAGAGCAGCACCTCCACAATGAGGACCGAGTCAGGCTGCATCATGGCCATCGGACGCAACATCGCCTGGAAGGAAAGACGGCCACAGAGACACACAATGCTTTTTGGGAGAGATGTCCATCCAAGATTACTTTCAGGTTGTCTGGCAGCTCGGTTCTCCCCCCGTATGTGCCGCCATGAGCGGCGGGAGGATTCATGGTGACAGAAAGTCCAAAAGAGCCCCGCAGCTTTATCCGCTGGTCTTCAAAGTCACAATAACCAGCGCCAGACAGGAGGGCCTGACGAATCTGCACCAGACCAAAATAGCAGCGCTTGTGGCACTTGTGTCTCAGGTGTGGCTACATGTCCTGACTCGATTGTCTGACCTTAAGCAGCTGCTGAGACACGACGGACATCACCTCCACGTCAAGCCGATTGAACTCATCAAAGCAGCACCATGCACCCTCCTGGACGAGTCCATTGAGGAGTCTGCCGAGTGTGCGGTGATCGAGTCTGTCGGAGCAGTTGAAGACCAGACACGGCACACCCACTGCCTTGGCCAAATCCTTCACCGACTCGGTCTTACCTGCAGGCACATCACAACCCATCAATCCCATCACTCGCACGCAACGCACGCCCCTCCCTCCCTCAGTCACCGGTGCCCGCAGGTCCCTTGACGCAAACACACAGGCACACACACAGATTGATGCACGAGATGAAAGCAGAAGGAAAGGCAACAAGCAAATCCCCACCGTGAGGCACGCAGCGAGCTTCAGAGAGAACGCCTGTGTGATGGTGAGCCAGCAGCGATCCGTCAGGGGTGTGAGCACCAGCCGCGAGCACACCCCCATGTATTCGTATCCGTAGCAGATGCGGTGGTCGAGCTGCTCCACCACACACGTCGACATGGCTATCGACGAGGCCGGCGTGCGGTGGTCGGGCGCGATGGAGAGGGAGACAGGGAGGGGCACTGGGTGGCTGTCGTCATGTGCTGGGGCTGGGGTTGGAGGCACAGACGGCAGCGCAGATGTCCAGTAGTACCGGAGACATTTGGTCCACTCAAAATCGCTCGCTGATGTCACCTGCACGAGCAATGTGTGTCTCGCTCTCGATCTCAGTCAGATGGATACATGTATTCACCTGTTTGGCGATGAGTGTCTGGGTGACATCACGATTGTGCACATCAGCAGTGATGAGAGCATACACCCGCAGCCGCTGCAGCATGGTCAGCGGCTCGTTGAGCAGCCGCACCAACGTCACGAGCGAGTCCTCACACTGCTTGAGCGCATTGTTGAGGCCCTCCAGCACCTCCTGCACGCTAGTGGTGGCCGACGGCTGGAACGTCAGCGCCCTCTCCACTGACTGGCACCACAGGATCTGGGATGCCACACTGATGACCTGTGCAGGTGCCTGATAGCTGAGCATCCACCCAGCTGCTGTCCTGTCAGGCTGCCCATAGCCGAATAGCGTCCTTTGCAGGGTCCGCTTGAGGCTCCTCACCATGTTGTCAGCAAGCGTCGTCAGCCACTCGTCCAGCACAAAGCGGAAGCGCACATGGATGATCGGCAGTGTCTCTCCCTCGCCAGATATGAAACCCAGTGTGTCAAAGAGAGTCGGGGAACGAATTTTGTCCTCCTCCGGGCCAAAATCCTGTCAATCACAGAGAAGGCATGTCTCTCTGTTTAGCGGCGAGTGCTTTGACTGTCAATAGCTGACCAGTCTATCGACGGCTGCGAACCATTTCTTGTGGTGCTGTTGGAGGCCTTTGGGATCACGTGATTTGGTGAGGATGTCCAGCAGCTCCTCGTTTGACAGGAAGTAGAAGCGGGGGAACGCCCTACGCTTCATCTCCACATAATCGTCCTGAATGTTCCCATATTCACTGGTGGCAACCGCGGACCATGCCTCGACTCGTGCGCAACTCCCTTACCAATTGCTTCTTGACGCCTTCGAAAGCTGTGATCATGCCCTCCAGCGCCTCACCTAGCCCCTGCTCCTCCAGTCGGTCCAGCACCAGGGGCACCAGCAGCGTCTCCTTCATGAGATTGCGCCACACGCCGTCATGGTGATTGAAGGTTTTCCCCTCCTGTATAAGCTGCCGCTGGATGTCGATAGCTGCCGCAAACAAGCCATCTAGAAAGCGCCAGAGTTTCTGGCAGTACAACCACTTGTCGATGAGGTCGTGCATGCGTGCGATGCGTGTCTGCCACAGAGCGAGGCGGTCTTGGAGGGCTTCCATGAAGCGTGACGACGCGACCGTGTTGATGAGGGTGAAGGACTCGTGGATACAAGAGATAATGTCGTCCATCGAGCCCAAGATGTAAGTCTCCTTGCCGGCACTCCTGCAGCCATCATGATGCACGTAGGCAAAGGGGATCGATCTGATTGTCTCCCCTGTCTGTGTGCACTCACTTATAATGTACAAGCGGCAGCTCTCGCCTCTCCCATATCCTTTCCACGCGGTCCAGAAGGTCTTCCAGTGAACTCTCCTGCGTCGCTCTATGGGCGATGCTCTGAGCGAGACAATGCAGCCAATGAAAGACATGATGATGCATTCAATCAGTGCTGTGTTGTGGCAGCCTCCGTACGATGATGGGTGCTGCAGCCTCCAGGAATCCACTCTCTACCATCTGCAGCACACTCATCAACGAGACACTGGAAGGCTCAAACCCTGTATACACATACACGAGTAGGGAATGACCAACACGTCTCAAAGGGCATGTCCTCTGTCGTCCTACTCCACGTCTCACCGGTGCCAACATGCTGCTGAATTGCCTCCCAGTGTCGATCTGTGAGCGACCGATTGCTCAGCGCGTCTATCAGCGGACAGCATGACTGCAACAAGCCGGAGCGGCTTTTGAGGGCAGCCACAGGTCCGCAGGGAGGCAGCTGTCTCTCAGCGTGTGAGCAGGCCAGCATGAGGGGGTGTAGGGCCTCTTGGAGCGCTGTAATGTCCACCTCGGTGAGCAGCACACACGACCACTTCTCTCTTATCAGGAGCCAGTCCGCCAATCCGGTCCACAGCTGAATGACAGGAAAGGAACGCTTGTTTGGGTGTATACAAGTCGTGTACACGTACACATATTAGTTGCGTCACGTTGTACTTGCCTTCAGCTTAGTTGCGATGGTGTCTGCGAGAGGGGCGTGCTGAGTGATTGGGGTCACCTTTATGCGCAGGGCCTGCATAGAAGTGTGTCCGATCGATCGATGCACTTCACTTAGACGAAGACAGGCGTGCACGTCTGGTGCCTACGTACCTCTTGGTAGCCTTGGTACTCGTGGCATTCCTGCTTGAGGGAGTCCACCTGCTGCTTCATGTCCTCCAGCTCACGACTCTTCTCTGTGATGTCCCCTTCCTCAGTCGCATCCTCTTTCTCCAGATACTCTGACAGGTGCTGGGGCTCAGGCGCAATCTGATTCACGCCGAAACTGCCTGAGACATACCACACACACATACACACACACACATACACTCTACCATTGCTCGCTTTAGTGGCCTGTGTGTCACGTCACCATCAAGAGTCTGCAGGGTGAGATATCTGACGTCGCTAATCCGGCTTGCGATCGCGTCGAGCCTCTTGACCACTGTCGGCATGTACTCGCTAACGTCCTTGGCAAATCGGTGTGTGTTGCGGGCGACGCTGCTCCACACAAACATCATCGTGGTTCGCACAGCCCGAAGGCTTTCATACGCCGAGGTCACGCCAGCTCGGACGCTCTACAAAGCAACAACAGACAAAGTAAGTAAGCGGCGCTGATTTGGTTTGCTCACCGGTTCGACGAATATATTGTGTTCTTCCATGACGGTGATGAGCGCATACGACTGGTTGAGCAGCGCCTGCATGTCATCGACCTGCATCTGTGCCGTCCCGAGGTACTCCATCTGCCGCACAAACGCACCCACTGTGGACGGCGGAACCGACAGACACCCTTGGGTCGCGTCGCACCACTCCTGAATCCTATGCGTGTTCTTCCGAATGAGGTGAGGGAAGAGGCAGTGGACACGCAGCAGCCGCGTGCACGGGGACGGGAGCAGCTGGAGCTTCATCTCGTGCAGCTCCAAGTTGATGGGGCCGATCTGCTGAGCCCAAGGGATCTTCCAGAACTCAGTCACCTGTCCACCGAATATCTGCAGCCACGCCTTGAGACGGTGCTCGGGGTCTTCCAGCCAGGAGTCGCCATAGAGAATGGACGCCTCGTCTGCCTCAGCGGTGGCAGCATTGGCCCGACACGTGTCAACAAGGGACTCATACCATCTCAGAAACTGAGATATGGATGCGTATACCTGAGACACAGGGGGAAGGATACACACGATACACCTACTGAGACACATACAAGAAAACATTTCCATCCATTCACCAGGCCTACCTCCGACGTGACGGTAGCAAGCGCCGCGACGTTTGATGGGCATTGTGGGTGCAGCTCGAGCAGCGGTAGTACATCTATCATTGGCGGCTCCTGCGGGATGTCTAGTCCCCGGCCCACATGTTTGTCCCAGTCCTGCAGAAACTGATAAAATAGCTTCAGCTCTGGCAGCTGAGAAAAGCGGGGCACCACTTGCACGCACGCAACGCCCTCATCGACAGCTGACCACGGATAGGCAAGGAGAGAAACAGCATTCACTGGTGCACAGAGAGAGAGAGAGACGTGCCATCCGATTGTCTCACCTGTCATGAGGGCCACCACTAGCTCGTTTGAGGGAGGGTCGAGCTCAAGGGATGTCGGAGTTGGCGGCATCGGGTACCGAATGCTCAGCTCACTGGTTTCGCCGGTCGGCACATCCACTTTGTCTGCCTGATCATCCATAGGCATCGCCCTCGGCCGTGCCGGGTCGGCGAATCCGGCCTTTTTGCGCACGTAACCCTCTCTCCTCTCCCACCCCTCCCCGCCCTCGGTGGCTGCACGGACTGAATGGACAAGCAGAGAGACACGCAAGAAGAGGATCCCCCTTTTACTCTGATTTGTACCACGGACAGTGAATATTGGTGATGTCTCCGCTGCCTCCGACTCAGCTGATCTTGTCATCGCTATATGCGTCCTTCTTGACGTGTCTCTCTTGATCATCTTGCCCAGCACCTCAGCGCCCCTGCAAGATCCATGGACAAATGTCAAGTGATGGATAGCCCCTGTGCTGTCGCTTACGGAGACTCGATCTTCTGTTTTCTGTCGGTTTTCTGGTCAGCCCTTCCATACAAGTGGATGGTCTTGGGGCTAATGGTTGGCTTGTTCTGCTGGGGGCGGCTCTCAGGCAGGTTCATCAGGCGCCCCACCTGCTGCAGAATGGCCTTGATACCAATCGTATCGCTCTCCGGCTCAATGGGAGGAGAGGAAGGAAGGTCTGCAGAGAAATTCATGAACAGACATGTGATGGGTGGGGTCTCTCTCTGCACCTGGTGGGATGTCGAATACGGCTGCAAACTCCTCTACAGATTTGGCAACGAGATTGACGAGGGCTGCCGACACAAGGAACTCAATCAGGTATGCCACACGGATGTACTGCACCGACAACTGCCGCAGCTGCGCCCGTTCCCAGTACGACAAATCCTTGGGCAAGCCTGCATAACGTGAGATCGGCAAATCGACAGAGACACGGCTTCGGGACCACCTCCAGACCCTGGGTACCGAGAAGGTCGAGCAGGTCTCCCTCACATCTGATGACACTCCATCCCAGCCCCCCTGTATTCGTCACATTTCCATTCAACGAGCGTACACCACGATCATTGGCGCGTCATTCAACTACCGTCTCTCCCACCGGTCCTCTGTATGGGTGTGAGTTCAAGAGTCGCCCGTCTGCCCTGTATGAAGGGGCTGCTTGTCTCGCTGTCGGCAGCAATGTCCTCCGCTTCTTCGGGGGGCGGCAGCGGACTCAGTGTCGGCGCAGTGAGGTGCAGAGTCGGCCGCCATGACAGCGCCTCCTGGGAAAGGGGAGTGCTCTGCAGACAGACAGACAGACAGACAGAAAGACAAACCGAGCACACACATCCACCGATGGCTTGAAGTGTTTATGTAGTGTCAGCTTAAATACCTGCGTCGGGCTCTGTTGTCTCCTTTGCTGTGACGGGAGTGGGATTCCATCGGTGGCCTCTTCTTTCCATTGTTGGAGCTGCTCTGCCGCCCTCTGCATCGATACTTGCCGCAGGGCGCCCAGCAGGCTCTGAAATGTGGTCTGCGTGACGTGCTGCAGATAGGCCACCTTACGATGCAGCTGGCGGGTCGTGCTGAAAGTGAAGTTGATTGATGAGAGGCGTACAAGACAGACGGATATGTGGAATTTACTAACCGCTCCTGGTGTTTGTGTTGGATCGCTGCGAATTCGTTGAGGGTCAGCTCTCCTGATGTCATCTCGGTCTGCAAGCACCTGCCGACATCCATTCAGTCCACCGATGGATACTCAACAAGATGACTAACAAGTCAGCTAGTGCCGTGCTTGCCTGAGGTCTTCGACTTGAAGGCACAGCGATCGGCATCGAAGGAGCAAATCACGGAATGGCGGGTTCAGTAGGAACAGCTTGGCCTCCAGAGACTGAAGAAACGAACCAATGAAGGAACGAACCCATCAATTTCTTTTTCGTCTGTTCACTGACTCACCTGGGCGGCCTCCTGCGTTCGCGCGCGTGCCCTCTCGAGTCGCCACAGCTCGAAGGCCTTCCAACGCCTGCTCTTATCAACACGCCCACGAACGGTTTGGCTTCACGTGAATGCTCACTTAAAGGTCTTGAAGAGCTTGATCTGTGTGAGTTTGGCGAATATGGCTCGGTGCCTGAGCCAGTCGATGAGCGTGTCGAACTCTGTCGGCTTGTTGTTTTCATACGACACGACACCCCTGTATCATACGTATACACGCACATACAAGATCGATCGATCGAGCTTGTCTGTCTGTCTGTCTGTCTGTCTGTCTGTCTGTCGGCCGTCTCGACTTACCTGGCGCTGATGGTTGTGTATGGCTCAGCCACGACTCCCCCTGCGCCGCCTGACTGCCGCATGAGCTGTTGGAACGACACCACCTCGACATCGTAGGCGTGCGACGGCAGCTCTATAAAGGGGCTGTGCTTCACGTCAGCATACTTGGGCACTCGCAGCCGGCGCCGACGCACATACACAAATGCCATGCACCGCAGCACATCCTGACGACGGCCAGTCCGACACTTGCATCATTGAAGGGCGTGGTTGAGTGAAATGCCTCAATACTTGTGTCGTGAGCAGTCCGGCGATGAAGCTCTCCAGGTCAGATGGCGTGGCGGCATTAGCTCCCTCGAACGACACAGCTGGCCTACACTAGCCCATCGACAGAGGCACACATACAGGAAGACAGACACACGTTTGTCGCCTGCCAATGATGTCGGCCCGGGATTGCTCCTCACTCGTTCCTGTCGTGGGTGCGTGTGGTGCGGGGGGTGGACCAGACTGACACTGGGGATACGGACGGAGGAGGCCGCTGCGGAGTGACGAGCGAAGCATCTAGCCGAGGGCCCTGAACAAGAAAGAGGGCAGCACATCACACAGCCCCACTCCCCATCAACAGACTCCCGATGAATGGATCTCTGCTCATCCTGCATGCCTTTGTGAACAGCCTTGCCGTGCCGGGGGCCTTCTGCTTCGCGAGCATCTGCACCGCCAGATCAACATCCACACCGCTGCTCCAATTTGGCGCAGCAGCTGCAGACGGAAAAGACGCGGACAGAGACGACAATGCAGACAGGCATGAGCCAGTCAAGATCCTCGTGCAGTTTTGGCGTGCCCATGCGTCTTACCCCCCTTCATCCAGCCCTCAGCGGTGGTCGCGGCTGTTTGCCGCTGAGGGCTGTCGTCATCCGTACTGTACACATCAGAGGACCAGTTCCTCAGGACCTCAGTCCGATTGAAATGTAACGGACTCTGAAGCCGGTGCATCATCCTGCGTGCGGGGAAAGAGTTCAAGTTGAAGTTGCCCCGGAGACTGAGCCCCCAGGGAGCCCCCAGGATGATCCAATTGTTCCTGAAGATGCTGACCACGGAGCTCACCGCCGCTCAACCGCAACACGACGTTGAACACGTCATGAAAGTCAGCGATGAACCAGCAGATATTCTCAGCGGCGAGGCGCATGTCATTGACCGCGCCACTGGGACCAACGACGTGACCTGCGGCCTGCCTACAAAAACCTACTCAGAAGAGGGGGGTGTCTATCACGAGGATGGAGAAGAAGGGGGGAGAGCGCAGCGCAAAGAGGAGGTGGAGCTCGAAGAAAAGGTGAATGAATTCCGAGCATACGCGGGACATGCAGCCTCGTTTCAGGAGTTCCAAACTGACTTGCGATATGAAGGAAGCTCATTTGTTGGTGCGGTCTTTACTCCTGAGCCGCTTTGGACGAGTGTTAGAAGAGTTACAAAGGTAATCATTCGCACAATGTCGCAGTCCTTCAGGTCTGTCACTTTCCAGGTACTCTTATTCCACCTAATCGCAGCCGTCGGCTTTGCAGTCTGTTGGGCCCTGGTGTGGCTGGCGTACTGGTCGGCGTGCGAGAAGATGAGCGCGAGAGCAGCAGGGATAGTCCTTGATGTAACTCGCCGCGTCATCGTTGCCCTATGCTATATGGCTATGATACTACTTGTGGCTGAGGGTAGCGGAATTGGGGCTGTCCGCCGCTTGAGGACGACCTGGTATTTCTTCCTTCTTTGGTTTGCCCCATACGTGGCTTCATGGAACGTCGAGGTCCTGCGGAAATACCACAAATATGCGCCGCTCATGAATTACTTCTTTACGCTGCTCGTACCCCTCATGTGAGAACAGAATTGTGATAGTAAGCACATATTCTCTGTCGTTGTGCCTGTCCTGTCAGGGTCTTTCGCCAAGTGGCTTCCAACTCGAAGATAATCATCAGGAAGCGGGCGTATATTCTCAAGACATGGGGCATATTTGTAGTGGTCATCTGTCTCTCGTTTGCCGTCCCCCTCTACTTCCTGCCACTTGCCCGGACTGCAATAACAGATCGCGAGAAGACAGGCGTCCTCTTCACTTGGCTGCTCGTGGTGTCGCCCCTTGTTGCGACCCGTAAGAAATGCGACTCGATCGATGGATACATTCGCATGTTTCCATGTGTATTCGGTCTGTGTCTTCTCAGTCACAGGCATCGTTCGTTCTCTGAAGGACGGCCCTGCTCTGCAAACGTCTCCAGCAATCGCGTTTGTAGCGTTCGGCTTCGCACTCTTCCCAAGGCTCGTCCAGGCCAAGATGGAATATATCTACTCTCAGGTAGGTGGGCACATCGACGCTATCCTCGCGTCAGATCCATTCCTCGTCCTTCCTGGACATGTCTCTCCTTATCAGCTTCTGTGGAGCTTGATCTTTGCATCATTCGACTTCGTTACCGACCTAGCCATGCCGTATTTCCTTCTCATAGGTGGTGCCGCGAGAAGAAGTCTGGTGCGATTCCTATGCAGGCCGGTACGAGATCGGCACTTCGACACTGTCACTGCTGAAGATACTCAGGAAACGCGCGATAAGCAAACGCCGGTCATGCAACTCAGCCGCCTTTCTACCACCATGATGAGTTTCAAGGGGGCCGGTCGCTATTCAATGAGGACTTTGAGCACGTTTCTGGATGTTCCCACTCAGGTTGTTCAATTTGGTTATCACCCGATATTCCTTCGGCGTCTCAGCGATGTAAGGAAGGAAAGCGACAGACAAGAAAATCTATTCATTCTACACTTTTCTGCCTCCACTGCTGCAGCAAATGCATGCCTACAGCTTGATTGAGTTGACAGTGCTTATCTTCAGCATCCTGTTCAACATCACTCTCGGCCAGATCCTCTTTCCATCCGTCCGTCACCTGCTAGAGAGGCTAGCAGGTCTGGGAATCATGGTGCTGATCGAAGTCTTGTTCGAGGGTGCGCTCTACATCTGCCTCGTTCGCTCTGCCAACTTGCCGCTGATTAAGAGCATAACCGAGCCGGGCGTCATCAGGATGCACTTGCTGGCACTGAGCATCGGCGGCAATCTTATCATCTTTCGCAACCTGCCAGTCCTTGTGCTGATGCTCTTGACCGCTTTTGATGAGAACAAGTATGAGTCAGTAAGCACAGACGAGTTTCGTCCTTTTCATTCAAGTATGTTTGAGCTGCCATGACATGTCTGCTTGGACGATTGGTTTGATTTGCGGATGGAGACAGAAACACATGATTGATGCGACATCCCTTTTCTCAATCCACTGTGACGATTCTTGTGTCGTACATGCTTCTTGGGGGGATGGATGGATGGATGGATGGATAGATGGATGGATGGATAGATGGATGGATGGATAGATGGATGGATGGATCGACCAAGACAGGGATGTACAGACCAATTATTGACCCTCAGGATGCAAGGAAGGTCCAACCCTAAGTTTGGACCTTCGTCTCCGTCCACGCCACAGACACCAAGAGGAAGCGCATACCAGTCAGCCTGGCCTGTGTGTGTCAGGTATGGTTCGGTGTCAAACATACGTACACACATTGATGCTAAAAAAAAAATCATTTGTCCGCATACGTTTCAGCGCATGGCCCAACGAGTCACCCAAGAAGAGTGCCGTGCATCGAAATTGCCAACCCCAACATACAGGAGGCGGTCGGAGGGTATAAACAGACGGCAGGCGCTTGGCTGGCCCGCCGTGATATGTACCACATCAAATTGAGCGCTTCCATTTGTGCATTGCGTACAAATGCCTTGTGTCTCGCTGCAACGATACACTGTCGAGCAACGAGACACAATTAATGACGGACCCAGACCAAAAGTCATGATGAGTCACGAAGCCACACAGTCACTGAGTGCATGTGAAGCGTCCTTGAGTGCCTCACAAGGTCATTGTCGTCAGTTGGCTTCCACGACAGGAGAAGCAAGGCCCTGTGACATGAAAGGCAGGCATGCCAACTCGCTCCAGCCTCGCGGCCGATTCAGCAATTGCAACATATGCGATATATAGGGCTTTGTTTTGTCTGTTCGGTTGAGAGACAGAGTACGTCGCATCGTACGTGTGTTGGTTCTGTACGTACGTGCGGTGTGTGAGTGTATGGGATCGGCCGCCGATCGCGAGTCCTTGACCAATCACAAACACACGATCGACCGATCAGTCCACTAAGCGACTGACTGATTCATGCTCTCAATCAACCATCCATCCGTCTCTTCCTCCCTCCCTCGCCTCTCCCGTCTGGTCCACCCTCCGAACACTGTCTGCACCCGTCCACCTCCTCAAGCAGCTGCTGCTCCACCCGTTCAAGTTGGCCCTCAGACACAATGGCTCTGCTAACACACACGCACTCATCGCTGTGCCGAATATGTGTCTGCTTCCTCAGAAACAGGTGGCACCGCAATCGACGCGGACCCCGAGAGAGACACAGAAGGGAGAAGGAAGGGCACAACAAGAACAGAACACACACCCGCTCATGCCTATGTTCAATATCTGTCTCCCTCAGACCAAACAGGCGCGGACGGCCACCCAAGGAGCAGCCATCTGGACGACTTCCCCCCACCTTCGCAGTGCCCCCACCTTTGGTGCCTCCTAGCCGGTGCCGGAGCAGTGAGCAGAGCACGTGCTCAGCTCACGTGCACATTGACCAGCACTGCACTGCACTGCACCACCCATTTCTCATGTCTCTGTGTCTCTCTGTCTGTCTGTCTCTCTGTCTGTCTCTCTGTCTGCGCTGCAGGTCCTCGGCAGCCTCCACCTCACATCATCCGCAAGGAGCGATGCCGCCGCGAGAAGCTCGCCGTCGCGCTGGAGCAGATCCTCATCATCCTCCCCAACGACGGCGGACAGCTGCAGCAGGTGGAGCCCCTGCGGTTTGTCGACCAGGCTGTTCAGAGTGACGCCCTCATCCACAACGCCAGCGGCGAGCGGAGTCCAAGACCGACCACGACGACACCCTGACATCTCTGCCTGCATCTTATATCCCGACCGTCACCTTCTCAAGCAGCCCAGGCAACGACAGCAGCGGCCGAGCTGACGTCCGTCCACGAGCTCCTCGACGACTCACTCAGCACCGTCTGTCAAACACAAAGACAAACAGAGAGAGACAGGCAGACATTCATGTGTGTGTGTGTGTGATGGCTGCAGAGCAATCGTTGTTCAGCTTGCCCAAACCATACACACAGACAGCCAGACAGCGTTCGTCAGTCAAGCCTCACTCCAACATTGCTGCCTCCACTCATACTCGGGGGTGGGAAGACAGACAGACAGACAGACAAACAACACAACTGCATGTCGTCTCTCCCCTGTGTGTGTCTGTACCAACCAGCAGCAGATGGAGTGCATGGAGCACAACGCGCCCAGCAATCGACCGGCAAACTCTGGTGAGCGTCTGGAGACAAGTACCCACTCACTCCATCACACACAGATAAGCTGACACACACACACACACACACTCACACATTCAAGTCCATGTGCTGTCTGTCTGACTGTGTTTGCGAGTTGCTTGCGAGTGCCGTTTGATCTTTTGCTTGCTGTGTGTGTGCCGTTTGATCACTCGGGACCAGTTCGTGCACAATCGCACCGGTCCACCGTCTCGAGCAGCCCATCCCATCGTATCATCGACAATCGTCTCCGTGTGAGCAAAGCCAGACAAACCGATGTCTCACTGTTCTTTTGTGTGTGTTCGATGGCTGGCTGGTTGCAGTGTTCGCCCGTCAGTGTAGTGAGTGTGCGTCCAGTCAGTCAGCCAGCCAGTCAGTCAGTCAGTCAGCCAGTCAGCCAGTCAGGAAAGAGGCGCAAGTGGCTGAATGCATATCGATGTGAAAACGGGGGTGACTCAAGTGTATACTCAATGGTGACGTTACTCCAAAGAGATACACACAGACGTAACTTGTTTTAGTCTGGTTGGTTGCTTACACACGTCTACACGGACATTGCATGATGTGAAGACAAATTGACCAACAAACTGAGAAGTTCTCTTCCACTTTATCTGTCTGCTCATATCGAAAAGAATCATTGCCTCCAACCCCATAACAACACATCCACAGCAGCAGCTTTCTCTCTCTTGTGTGGAGGCTGGCTACGCACACGCATACACAATTATTGTGTCGTACGTGATTATTGCGTGGATGGATCAACTAAGACAGACATACAAGTACTAGTGCTCAGAGTCCATTAGAAGGAAGACTTCGTAAATGACACTCATGATCAGTCAGTCACGTGCATCATCCGTGGCGTCAGTTCGCGCTGCTGGCTTTGCCCTTTTTCTCTGTTGCGGCTTGCGGCTCGGGCTCTTTGCTTCGGTAGACAATGTTGACGTCAGGCGGGATGATCGAGCCAGCTTTGTACACTGACACACACACAGAAAGGGAGACACACACTCGTTCATTTATGCGCAGCCCGTCTCTTGGTTTGTACCTCCGCGTGAGTCTTCGACGGGCCCTCTGAGCTGCAGAGGCACGCCCATACACGGCAGGGGGCGGGGCCGCAAAGGTTGCGGCGCGCCACCAGGCGCACCGGGGACGTAATACGCTGCACGCACACGCCAACATGGCATCCATCGGTCACACCCCTTTCTGTGTGTCTGTGTGTGTGTGCGTGTGACTGACTGGCTCTCCGGATGGCTGTGACGAAACTGTCGTTTGGCGCGCCGATTGGGTCGCCGGCGCAAAAGAAGACGTGTTGGATGAGGGTGTGGGGTGCTGGCATGGCAGTCGAGCCGCTGAAGTTGATCGTGAAATGCGTGCAGTCTGCAGACCAGCCAATGCATGTATCTGTGCATCAAGAAGCGATCTGTGTTCATATGTACCTGGCAGGTTGTCACATGTCTTGGCGGCGTCCTCCATGTCGATTGTCGAACGGCTTGTGCTGCGCCTCTCCTCGACTGCATAACAACACACTAATGTCAGAGAGAGACACGAGCACCGAGACACTGGTGAGGCTTACTGAGGTTGGCTCCTTGGCAGATGGATTGCATGTTGGTCACAACGCGATACCTGGAAGGAGACACGACAAACACCGATCAGCCGTACAGTGGACGTCGATGGTGACTGAGTGAGTGAGACACACAGACAGACCTGTCGACGGCGAGCTCTTTTGGGCTGACGCCGACCACTGCCGAAGGAAACGGCTCGAGCGACAAGTAGCCGTCACCTGAGCAATACACACACACCTTCGTCAATCCGCTCTGTACACGCCGGCCACACCCACACACCTTTGCAGATCCATGTCCTTTTGCTCTCCCTGTCGACAGTGAAGAAACTGCATCGATCATCGGCGGCACATCGTTGCTCGGCCTCGTCGAAGTCAATGAAGGGCGACGCACTGCAAGGGAGATGCCAAGTGTCAGTGAACAGTGTCGGTGTCTGTGTCAGTGAACACTACCTTCCGCGGCCGTATGCCTCCAGAATGTCGTCACCTGAATGCATCGTGCGCCTTGACCGATTGACATGCGCATGTCTCGCTCCTCTCCTCACCGAGGCAGAATTTCTCTGCGAAGTTGATCCGAAGAAAGCCGCCCTCAACTGGACGCTGGAGCTGCCGAAACGACATTCTGTTGGCCCTCGACTGCTGCTGCTCTTTCTCCTGCGTGGCGGCCTCCTGTCTGTCCTCACTCTGCATCAGCTCGCCAAACTGCCTCGCGTACTTGGCCTCCTCCTGTCTCTCCTCCTTCTCTTTGGCTGCCTCGATGTCGTATCTTGTTCTCGGCGGGGCGGTGCGGAGGCGATGATGTCTTGCAAGCTGTCGGAAATTGGTGGAGAGGGCGATGAGGGCTGACACGGGCTTGTCCTCCTGTGAGACACGCACATGCAGCGAGATGATTCATTCACTCGCATGAGTGGCTTTTTGGCTGCTTTTGTCTGTGTGTGTGTGTGTCTCACTTCCTTGTCGATTTCCACCTCCTGTGCTTCACTTTGCTCCAGTTCCTTCTCTTGCGCTGCCTGCTCTTTCTCCTGCTCGGCGACCTCCTTCTGCGCCGCTGCCAACAGCGCCTATGTATCCGCACATTCAAGAGACACACAAGTGATGTCGAATCGATCAGGCAGACAACATCATTCTCTTGCCTACCCGCTCCTCAGTGCCGATGCCTGTCGTCATTGATTCGAGCAAACCGCCTGCGTTGCCCTCAATCTCGGCCAGCTCCCCCGCCGATGGCTGTGCAGCCTCCTCCTCGTCAGTCAGAGCCACCGGGGCAGGCTGCTGCCGCTGCTGCTTGCCGACAGACGTCACGGCCAGCCATAGCTGCAGGCAGAGAGCCACAGTGAGCGGCAGTGACAGCCTCATCTCGCGCACAGACTCCTTCCTTTGCGTGTCACAGTCAGTCAGTGAGTCAGTCAGTGAGCGGATTGAGCGTTGAGGGAATCGACGGCGCGAATGTACACATACATACAAATATAAACAAAATACAATACCTCATCGACACGCTCACGTCACGTCACATCAGGTCACGTTTTGTCTGTCTGAGCTTCCGCCTCCCCCGCCACATCGTGCGCAGCCTCTGCTGCACCTCGGTGAAGCAGGCAAACGCTGCTTTCATCCCGCTCCTCCTCGCCAGCAGCCTCGCCCCCAGAGCCTCCCACACCCGCGGTCGTTTTCTGTCACGAACGCCGTCATCTCGCTCGCTGACATCAGGCAGCAGCCTAGGGCGGCTGACGACGCTACAGGTTTCGGCTTGCGGTCCGTATTTGATCTGCAAAGATCGAAAGCAGCGGCCATGATGCTGACACAGTCCGAGAGATGTCTGACGTACCTGGGCAATACGGCTCGACAGCTCTCGTTTGGCGGCGTTTGTGAAGCTCCTCGTAGCACCACCGCTCGTGGTAGCGGACTGAGTACCACTTCCTCACCCTTCACCCTGTGTGCATTGAATGGCAGCGTTCAGTGTGTCTGCCCGCAGAAAACGCCCGGGTGGGAATTATTAATTCCCAGCGGGTTCCGCTGTAAATCCTCAGCGGGCGGGTAGATGAACGCGCTGCCCCCCTTCAGTGCGGATGAGGAGGACAGCAAAGAAGATCACGTCGTCGAATCGCGCCTCCGGTCCCTCCTCGCCTCAGTCAACACCCCACATTTAAAGAACGCTTCAGCTGAGCTCCGGTTCCTCCAGATGCCGTCACCCAAGCAGCTGATGGTGCAGAAAGGCAAGCCATCCTGTCTGCCATCGCCGCGCAGCCACATCAGACCGCCCCTCGTGCGCCCGTCCGTCATAACCCCCAACAGAGACCAGGAGCTGCATGCCCATCTCCCCACGGAAGATGGCGGTCTGAGGACGCCGCAGCCAAATCGGCGAGTGCCGCCATTGCAGAGCCAGCATCGCAGCTGCAGGACGCCTCAGGGCGGTGAGAAGCGGCCAGAGCGGGTGCCGTTCGCATCAATGAGGCAGCTGGGCAAAGGGGCGTCGGCTGGTGAGGGTGGTGGAGAGCGTGAGGTGTGGGGGCGGGTGGATGAGCATCGGCAGATGGCGAAGAGGGAGCAGGAGAGGGCGGATGTTATCTTTGCGCAGCACCAGGCAAGTGCACACACAAGAAAGGATGGTTCTCACCGGCATGTCCATTCTCTTCACATGTGTGTGTACGGGTGTCAGGAGTTGCTCAAGATGTACCACGCGGCGGCGAACGAGCGTGACGAGTATCGCTCGCAGCTGTTCGCTCTCGTCCATCGGCCATCGTCAGACGCCGCCATACAAACACCGCCGAGCACGACCGAGAGCCGGCCGACCCAGACCGACGGAGGCGAGGCCTTCGTCTGCCGGGCCGCCACATCAATGGGCAGCCAGACAGACGACGCCGCGTGGGAGAACGAGTGGCAGGACACGAGGGAACGGGTGAGGAGCTCCGCCCTGATCATCCATGCGTGTTGTGCATGAGAGTGGTTTGTGTTTTTTGCTGATCTTTCAGTTGGCTTCAATCGAGGAGGAGCTGCAGACACTGCATCACATGCTGTCCATGGAGGCGTCCCCAGCAGCCACGTCTGAAGACATCCTCAGCCGCCTGAAGACAGCCATCACGGACAACCAGAGCATACACACCCAACTCGAGGTGCACGCCCGCCCGCCCGCCACCTGTGTGCCAATGTGCGTGCATCTCTTTGTGTCCATTCATCAGACTTCTCAGTTGGCCACTGCCGACCTCGAGGCCTGTCTGCGTGACGGGCGATCGCGGGAGGAGTCACTCGCCGCCGAGCTGCTCGCTCAGGAGGGGGTAGTGCGGGAGCTCAGGGACCGGCTGCAGGAGGCAGAGGGCAGGGTGGTCGCGGCCACCCAGCAGGCGGACGAGAGGACCGTGAGGTGTGAGGATCTGCAGGTGGAGCTGCACCACATGCGACAGCAGCTGACGGGTGGGCATGGCTGGATGGAAACAGGAGAGACGCTTTTGTGGATACGTGTGGTGATCGTTGTCGGTCAGATGCATTCGAGCGTCAGCAAATGGCCGCATCGGAAGCTGAGGAGCACCGCACTGCGCTGGTGGGTCAACACTTTTCCTGCCATGGATTCTCCGCACATATCGCTGCAAGTTGCGTTGGTTGGTTCTCCCGTTCCTCAGCATGAGTGTGTTGTTGAGAAAAAGGCGCTGCAGGTCCGCATACCTGAGATGGAGGAGCGCGTGTCTCAGGATGCGGACGAGATCAGCAGACTGCAAGGCCAATGCCAAAAGGCCACCGATAAGGCGAGGAAGAGAAGGCAGGAAGAAACCAAACTGAGCACATGCCCCACCCCCACCCCGCTCTTTGTCTGTTCAGTTGATGGCGCTGGAGGCCAAGCACGCTCAGCTGCGTTCGCTGCTGGACCAGGAGGGCAAGGGGGATGATCTTCCCACGCTCGTCGAGACGCTCATGCAGAAACACCGCCAGCTCACACTCGACAGACAGGTCCATTCCCCCGCACCCCACCCACAGAGACACAGGGCCTCTCCCTTATCCTGCCTGCCTGCCTGCAGTGTGATGCAGAAGAGCTCGATCGGCTCCGCCGATGCCTGACAGCTGCAGAGGATGAGCTAGCCCATCGCCACTCACAGCAGCGGCGCACCGAGGCCGACCTGGAGAGGGCCGTGCACACCACACGTGTGCTGGGCGACTTCCGTGACGCCTTCTACCAGGCCAAGAAGGAGACAGAGCAGCAGAGGCGGGCGCTCGAGGAGCTGAGCGACCAGTTGGAGCACCGACAGATCAAGGGTGAGTTTTGCGTAAGTAGATTCTGTGTTGTGTCGTGTCTGTATGTGTGTATACCAGAGGGCGACGAGAAAGCGCGGGAGGCGCTTGTCGAGGCGTCGAGGGAGCAGCAGGTGCAAATGGTCCATGAGACACGCAAGTGATCCATTACAGATGGATTCATCTTTGTGTATCTGTTGCAGGTGGCGGCTGAGAGTGCGTTGCGTGCAGCTCAGTCGGATGTCAATCGCCTCAAAGAAGAGAGACACCACCACATGCAAGTGGTACCTAACATGCGAACTCAATAAGGGAACAGACGCCATGTCAACATCAACACGAGTCTGTTTGTGTGTGTGTGTGTGTATGTGTGGTTTCCGTCCGTCTGCTGTCAGATTGACAATTTGCGTGAGACGAACCAGGAGCGGCAGCAGATGATAGAGCGGATAGAGATGGACAGGCAGACGGTAGGCAAAGCCAACAACATCCGTCCATCCATGCAAACATGGCCTTTCATCATCAGCTGCGGGCCGAGAGAGACCGTCTGCTGCGGCAGATCCAGGTGGGGAATGAATCCCCAAGTACACACCAGCAGCTGATGGTGTGTGCTGTGCTGTGCTGTGCTGTCTTGCATGTAGGTAACGGAGAGTGAGGCTGAGGCGAGCGTGGTGTCCCTACAGGAGGAGATACGAGACATACAGAGACACATACGACCACCCGAACCCACAGCTGAGGTAGGGAAGCACCCCCATCCATGTGCGAACCACTCTATCTGTCATTCATTGCAGATAGCGGACCTACATCGCACTGTCAAGGAGCTGGTAGCCAAGTTTGAGCAGCTGGATACCTCAAACAAGGTGACCTCACTTCTTTTCACACCACACCACACCACAACACAAGACATCACAAATGGAATGCAATGCCACTCTCCGCATTGGATATACGCGGGTCAGATTGAGACGGACAAGTCGCTTGTGTCATCTCGCCGGCCATTGACGCCTGACCACCGCCTGGCCACCGTGCCTGCTGCTGCTGCTGCTGCTGCTGCGGGTGACGGCGGGCTGGCACAGGAACTGAGACACGCACTACTCAGGTACCAACACACATGAGACCTCACGACCACCCAGCCCACGCGCTCTCCCGTCTGCCTGCAGGGAGAGCTCACTTCGCCACCTGCTGTCCCGCACGCATGTCTCTCTCGAGGCCCTCCATCGCGACATGACCACGCCCCGCTCGACATCCACCCTCGCCATGGTGCGACAGGGCCTCATCGCCGCCCTCACCCAGCTGCACCCCCCCATAGCCATGCTGCCGCACCCACACACTGTGCCACTACCACCACCGGCAGCAGCCAATGAGGGAGGAGAGGAGAATGAGAGACAGAAGACGACGGATGGGGCTGCGTATGCGTCTTCCTCTCCCCCAGCCCGCCCATTCCCTGGTCTGAACATCGCTGAGGGGAGGGACGGGCGGCACGAGGGCGGCAGGCTGCAGCTGAGCGACTTCATACGGGCGGTGCGGCGCCGCTTCCCACATGACGGTGGAGGGCCCCAGGCAGACACCACGGTGGACGGCACCCACCAGCAGCAGAAGCAGCAGCAGCAGGCGAAGGCCGGTGCGCGTCATGGCAGCACCGGTCAGCAGCCCAGTCGGCTGCCCTCTGGCGTGTGCGGATGTGAGCCCACTGATGGCGGGGAGAGCGATAGGGAGGCCGTGGTTGAGGGAGGCGGTGCAGGTGGACAGGGGGGAGAGGTGTAGAGATATTGGAGCTGGTTGACCATGGCGTGGCGTCAGTGCTGCTTTTTGATCCGTGTGCGTGTGCATGAGATTGGACCCTTCTATAGACACACGTCGAATGAGTTCACGAGTCTGGTCTCGCCAACAAATGTCTCCTGTCCACTGCACCCATCCATCAGAGGCACCCTGACTGATGTGCACACACGCTGACACCGTCTCCGTCGGCCATTGGATGCGCCACCCATCGCCACCGCCCCGTGCAGGGTTGAGAAGTGCACCCTGCACGTGAGGCTACCGAGGATGTGGTCAACCACTGGTCGGACCAGAGAGAAGTCGGGAGATGTCCAATCAATGCATGTAGCCACAGCAAACGAAAAGCCCCCCTGCCCCGATAGGCAGGACCGTCAGTCGCTCATTCGCGGCCATGCATTCATCATGTCGGTACATGCTTACCCATGCGAGAAGACTGTACACTGACAACACCGCCGCCCGCCCACAAGTCAAGTCAAGGCAAGGCAAAACAAGACAGGCCACACGCACTCGATGGAAGAAAGAGCCGGACTGTGCAGGACCCAAGTTTTCTCCTCGACAAAAATAAGCAGCCAGCCATGCAGCTAACTCACTTCCCCCTCCCTCCTCTCCCTCTGCACACATGGACGCGCACACCACAGCCGCCGTGCTGCCTCTGAAAAAAGAGCGCTTCTCAAGGAGACGCGAATAGCAGGTAGAAGGTGATGACCACGCCCAGGAACAGCAGCATGTTGGTCACCGCCTGCTGCACCTGCTCCTCCACTGACGCACACCGACACAGAACAAGAGACAGACAGTGTGTCGTGAAAGCCAAAGCGTGTGTGTGTGTGTGGTCACCTTGCTGCTGCTGTGGGGTGGTTCTCCGTTGCCCGTCAGGTGTGGTCCCGCTGCCACCCGACACGCCACCACTTCCACTCCCCTGAGGCCCCATACCACCGCCAAACGGACTCCCCCAATCCAACTGAGCCACAAGTAGCACGAAAAAGGCACATGTGAGGTTGTGTTGTTATGACTCGGTGCAATGACAATGCACTCACTCACCCCTCCACTATTGTTGTGGCCGCCCCCTAATGTGAAGGTGAATCCAGCACCGAAGAGGCCAAGAGGGAAGGGCAGGATGGAGAAGGCGATGTTGGCCGGACCGAACCCGCCGAAACGCTGAGACTGGAACCATCCACCGCCCTGACAAACACGACGCATAACACACACACACACACACACAGAGAGAGAGAGAGAGAGAGAGAGAATGAGTGAAATGGCGGCGACACGGATAGTGGACGAGTGGTCAGGGAGAGTGCTGTGGTTTGTACCTGTGGTCTCTGGCGGTTCGGCGCCTGTGGCCGTTCGCCCTTGGGGCGCTGCGGAATCTTTCGCTCCTTCTTCCTGCACACACCAACCAACACACGAGAGTCACGGCGATTGGACGTACCGTATGTGTGTGTCACTGCGTGATGGCCGATGACTAACTGCCCACCTCACCTGGGGTCCTCCTCTTTGCCGCCTCTCGAGTAGAGCGGTATGAGGCTGTCGACCGTCACGCCCGCCTTACACACGGGACACTCCTCCTTGCCGTCGACCAGCCAGTCATGCAGACACGCCCAACAATACTAAACACAACACAAAACACAACACAACACGCCACGTCACAAACACGTGTTTGTTGTGCATGGTCGTGGTCGTCCCGCTGACCAGGTGGCCGCATCGCGTGACGACAGGCTCTGTGGCCTCTTCAAAGCAGATGGCGCACTCGAATTTGGAGCTCTCGTTGCCGCCAGGAGGGCGGGAGGCCGACGTTGGCTCTCCCCTCGATGATGCGGATGCCGACTGTGACGATGACGAGCTCATTCACGCTAGCAATGTCAGAAGTGCAAGTCGGTCCAGGGTTTAGGGTCTAGGGTTCATAGACCGACGATCCACTGATCTGTGAGACAGGACGGCTGTTGAGTCTTTGTCCGTTCCATGAGACAGGCCATGGCGGACAGGACGTCAGACAGGATGGACTGACGCATACTACATGTCCTACGTGGACTCTCCACAAAATCCACAGACCTTACGTTGCATTGACTTAATCCTTTATCCGGGACTGACCGCCCGGCAGATCCTCTCTTCACCATTCTCCCCGACTCTCTCC